CTGTTGAGGAACGTCGAACATCTTTGCCTTATCGATCGCCTTAACGCTCTCTGGTGGGAGCAGCACGGTGATCGCTGGCGAGAAGCGCAAAACAATGTTGTTCCAATCTCCCCAACACAAGACTGAACGCACAGTGACTGAGGTTATCTCTCAATGCGCAAACAAAGGGATGACCCAGGACGCAGAAGTTGAAAGTCTCAGTTCGAATGACAAGCAGTGATCGCGCGGTCCGGTTCGGAACTGCAACGATGTACACGGAGACACAGGCCTCGAGGATCAGTCCATCGTCGGTGGGCTTGTGGCTGTTTTGGGTTAGCTCCACGCCTAACGCTTTCAAGCTGCGATTATGTAATTTAGATTCATGAAATATCCTTCAGTCCAGGAGCTGCTCCTCGGCCACCAGCGACAACGACGACTGAGTTGCGCATCTGCTGTCTTCCTTGATGCCGTTCGGCTGCCTGTGACCATCCTGCAGCTGTCTTCCGCGCCCGCGCCCGTCCTAGCTAGGAATCTGCCTCCATCCGACGCGCTCGTCTCCTCATAGTTACCGCCACACGCCGCACGCGTGCAGGCTACATCAACCCTTCGTACCTCACTCGAGTCCCGCCTTTCAGATCGTCGCTCTACACAAGCGGCACGCGAAGCGGCAAGCAGTGGTTGACAAGCATTTCGCAGTGGATGGGACCTTCGCATGAATTGGACGAAGACGTGCACAGCGCTCAAAGGCGATAATTCTCCGTCCCTCCTGACCGGTTGACTCCAGCGGTGGGGAAGGAGAAGGTGTCAAGAGCCGAGCTTTCCGTTTCCCTCGATTGATTCGTTTGCCTCTGTTGAACATAAAAACCTGCGAGCCATTTTGCGGATGACGTCTTCGATCGTGCAAGCGTAGCTCTGGGGCTCCCTAAGCTCTCCGAACGTCCCAAAGAGTGCCATGTGCGGTGACTTCCCTTGATAAGCTCATGTGACGTACTAATTGAGAAAGCATGCGCCGAGCAGTGCAGGAGCGATTCACTTGCTTGATCTTGGTTCTAAACTCTTCCACCACACCTGGCACATTAAACGCTTGAACTATCATCATTTTCCTGATTGCACTTTTCACCTCCATGCATCGGATGATTATTGGTCACGAGCTTGAGAAGGGAGCTGATATTGCTTTCGGATCACGCTTCCACACAACGTCGACAAACCGACCAAACGCTACGAGAGCGGAGTTACGATCGGTCTAAGTACGGTGTATGATTTGGAGCCGAAGACGCGATTTCCCCGTCTCTTTGACATTACAGCACCTGAATTCTCGGCGTGAGCCGACTGACTGGCATATCTCATATGGTCCAACACGAAATGACACACTGTGAAGTTGAGAGAGTCAGGGTTCACATTGAGTGAAGTTGCAATGATGTTTCGGAGGCTCAGGTCGTTCATTTCAGGGGCTCGCCAACGCTTGTAGTACACTCCCTGACCCACTGGCCACTACCCAACTGCCTCGCTAGGCACGACCACTACGCGAGTGCTCGCTCCCCTTAGGAACATAGACTGTTCTCCGTTCACGAACTTGGCCGCACTCTGGGCCAAGTGTGCTCTTAGTCTCGCGGCCGCTTATTCCCTCGGCTTAACCCTACATGCCTGCACATCCGTAGAAACCGAAAACAGCCATCTAAGCGAGTTCCCACTAACAGAATGCCCGAAGAAATTTGTGCAAGTATACAAACTGAATTGTTTTTCCAACTTTCATCAATCACATCTATTCCGGCTGTAAGGTTGGACATCTTCAATAGTATAGTGGTCAGTATTTCTGCTTGTCATCCACTGGACAGCTCGCAGGAGGCCAGGGTTCGATTCCCTGTTGGAGAGACACGATTCTTTTTTGCATTTTGCCGACCCGTGGGCGACTCTTTTTCTACCTTTGTCCATGGCACGTGCTCTTGATAAGAGATAATCTACATTATGCATAATAGCGTTTGTTATTGCTACGGGAGACTAGAGGATGATACACGTACAAGGGAAAGTCTCAGTCAAGCACCTAACCTATCTGACGCAATCTTAGATGCTCCTGCTGCGGGGCCGTCGCTTATAGCGGCAAGAACTTCTACATGTGCACGATATTGGAATTTTTGATGTTTTCAAAGCCACTTTCACCAGGATCGGCCGCCTTGTAGATGAAGTCGGGAGACATACAGGCTAGAGACCTTCTCAACAAGCACACAATCACACTGGTTGATTGGCTGTAGCCGTACGTGGCCCCAATCGACCTTAAAGTAGCAGCCAGGGCGCGTTCTTGTCGGTTGTCCAATCCACACGCTGCCAAATTGTGACATCGCCAATGAACAAATGTCCCCTCCTCGATCGATCTCTACTTCCATGACGCCACCACAAGAAGAGCTGAACATATCACAAAGCCCTTTCAAATCACAGCGCCAACAACACATTGCTCAACAGACATCCTCAAAGAACGGCGGAGCACCAGTAGCGAGCTCAGCGTGTCGTGCAGCAAAGGATACAGGCCACAGCGAGCATGTCAACTTTTTCCAACAGATCAACAACTATCATCAACTATACTCTTGGACGCTGACGGTTCACACGCGAGTCGTGCTGTTTTCGATGTCAAGCTGAAGGATGTAGCTGAAGAACCTGAGTCTGTACAGCACACCATGGCCGTGAGACGGTGCACATGCTCCCAAACTTACGGCAGTAAGACCTGGTAGGATGCGTGGCGGATCAACATGCGATTCTGGATCCTTCTAAAGTATGTGGGCTGATTTGCGGAACGTGAGACAACAGCATCTGAATCTTTAAGAACGCATACAAGAAAAGCTGTGTATAACGATTTTCAACGTTTCTGCTTCCTCGCTACAGCCATCGTTGACAGGTCGCGATCAGAGCTACGGGACGAATCGCTTTCTTCTGCGCCCTACCCTCTTGCAAACCTACTTCTCCGTCTGCCGGTCTATAAACACTACTTCGACCTGTGGTCACATCACTACTACCATTGGCCTGGATTTACACTTGGGAATCATGGCTTGATTGTCAATGTTTGCTGCGTTGAACCTTTGTTCGCGTACCTTAACATTTCAGTGACGCGTAAAAAGGAGCCATGAAGTCACTTCTTGTCTGAACCTTAGCCAGGGCGATATGGCGAGTCGTGGGTACGCCACATGCAACCAATCGATCGGACCGATCGTACCTGACAAAATTAAGCCCGTTGCTCGATGCAAGCACCGGGTCACTTACCTATTATGTCTGTCCCTGAACACTAGGATGATGAAATAGTGAAACGTATGCGGAACATTAATAGCTTGTACAAGTCTAACCAGAACCGCCTTACCGTTAGAGGCTCCCTAGGTGGTGTTGCACATGCAACTCAATTATGGACAAGCTGACAATGCTACGAAGGAGTCAAAACGAGGTTTCAATCATCAAAGGTTTACATGTGATCTTGTAGCGAGCGTGTAGTAAACTTAGAACTACACAAAGCTTGGTAGAACTGGTACCATAATCCTTCGTCCCAGTCTCGCTTGTCTTAGCCCTACCATCGCTGACACAAGAGCTGCATGCAGTTCAACAACGCTTCTCGAACCACTAATAGTGGGATAGTCCTCAACCTGATTGCGGAAGTGAAATGAACTTAGAGCTGGCCTTGATGCGGGAGCGATAATCGCTAATGGCTGTTCGGTCACACTAGCTGCCGCTAAACAACACACACCTATTGAGCTTGCAAATGCATAGTACTGCTTAATGTCTTAAATCTCGCAGCAATTAGGTTTAATAATACAATTGCAACAACGGGAGGTATGATTCTGCCTTGACAACACTTGCTAAGTAATTTCACGGTAGAATAACTACTCGAGAAGAAGCTGCAAATCACGTACGGTGTAATATCGTACTAGACAGATGTACAAGGTTAGGGCATAGGAATTAGTATCGAGCAATCTTGCACGCCCACAAGAAGAAGGTATGTCCGTAGCAACAAAGCATAGGACCAAATCGGCAGGTAAGATATCGGCAGGTAAGATATCGGCAGGGTTGAGATCGGAGGTTTTGCATCGGCGGTTTTTGCACCGGCGGTTTTCGCATCGGTAGGTTTCGCATTACTAGTCTTACTTCGGTAGGTTTCTATTAGCAGGTTACCTTTGCACTAGTAGATTTAGAGTTAGTAGATTTAGTAATTGTAAGTTTAGAACGAAAAGATTAGTTAATAACCTAGCTAATATACTAAGTCTTTAGTAGCTATACTAATAACTATTAATATTTAACTTTTAGTCTATTTTTATAATATATAGTATAAAATTTAGATATAAAGATAAGGTTATAACTAGAAAGTATTTTAAATATTTAAATATTAAATCTTATAATAATTAAAAGTTAACTACTTATTAATTAATATTTATTTTAAGGTTTAAACTAATTAAAATATTTATACTAGATATTTATAGACTAGTTAACCTTAATTATACTAGTAGATACTATATCTACTATCTTAATATAAGAATAGTAAAAATAAAGATATAGTGTATAATATAATTAAAGTATGCTTTACTATATATTAATAAAATACTCTATAGTATAGTAGGCTAGTAAAGTTATTCTAAACTTAGAATATACCTAACTATCTATATATTCTATTATAATATAGCTATATTAGTGTAGTATTAATGAAATTTTATTGTAGCTTTACTTTCCCTTAAGACTGTACCTAATATGTCGTGGCAGGATAACAGGAGCAAACAAGTTGTGTGTATTTTAGTTAACGTTACATTGTAGGCTTTATGCATTCTGCAGGCCTACGCATACATACGCCTATGACATGCTGCACGTCATGTAGAAGGCCTAAGATTTGCTGAAGCTGCTGCTGCACATCAGCGTCTGTCGGCTGGACCTTTTCGACAAGCAAATATGTATGTACCGACAGGGAACATGTATGCACCGAGAAGGCTCGACGCACTATAAAGTAATGATAAGAGCCACAAGATAAAATTATCGCCCTGAAGATCGTTAGAGCGAAGATGTTGACAGGAACGGCATTGATCACTGAAGCGGGGTCTGGTAAATACTCTTCTGCATCAATTGCTACTGTGCCCTATCAAGGAACAAGCAACCTCTGACTTGCGTTGCAGGCTTTGGCCAAAGCGCCGCATACTCGCTGGCCCAGCATGGTGTTCGCCAATTCGCTCTCGTTGACACCAACAAAGCTGGGCTACAAGACACAGTGGAGGTGCTAGCGTCGCAACATGACGTAACAGACGTATTGGTCGTGTCCACGGAATGTAACGACGAGAGTACCATTGAGGAAGCCGTTCGGCTAGTAGTGTCACGGTTTGGGCGTATCGACTTCGCCATTAACAATGTCGGCTTTGGCGGACCGTTGGGTGGGAGCCCCGACACCGCGCCCCCGGCGTTCGAAGCTCATCTCAAAGAGCATGTAACGGGCGTGTGGTTGTGGCATCGTGCCGAACTACGCCAAATGCTACAGCAAGATCCGCGTGACGCGCGGTATGGCCGTGGCAGTATTGTACACGTCTGCTCCGTGCATGCGTTCGTGGCCTCACCACCTCAGGTCGCTGCTGCTGCGTATGTAGCGGGTCGGCACGCCGTGCTCGGTTTGATACGGTCTGAGGGTGTTCTGTACGCGCCGCAGCAGATTCGCATCAACGCACTCTGCCCCGGGTATATCGCGTCCCCTCTGATCGAGTCCTCGGAGCAGACCAAAGCCTTTATTGGCAATCTAGTGCGCGAGCGTGTACCCGCTGGTCGACTGGGAACACCAGAGGAGGTTGCTGATGCAATCGTATACTTGGCCGGGCCTATGAGTAGCTACATGTTTGGCCAGTCGTTGGTGATAGATGGGTATGTTGTTGGACCTTTGCGCAAAACAGAATTGTGACTAATCAGTCACAGCGGCTACCTCGCTCAATAGCATTTCAAGTCGATATCCCGTTTAGGTAAACAGGGCACGGTCAAGATTATAGTCGAGCGTAGAAGGAGCAGGATCCAAATGTATTTGTTGCTCTCGAAAATCGATTGTGTGGCGGAAAGTCTCCACTCCACGTACTTTTCCCCGAGAAACTCTGCCGGATCCACTACATCATACTATGGACCTTGACAACAAACCCACCCAGGTATACGACAGAGAAAGACGGGAACGAAGACTGATCAAGCGTAACTAGTCGTTTACGCCCATCATCTGTGCAACCACGCGTCTCTTCTTTTTTGTCAATGAACATCGAGATTGCAATATGAAAACCCATTGACTCAAGACTTATCCAAGGATTCGCATCAACAAAAAACCGGGTATATTTCGATCGCTGTCTGAGTAACGCCTAGGCAACCAGTAGCGACTGTGCTTTGAGACGGCGAATGCATGCTCGCACACGACGTAGATTCGTACGCACGAGGTCAAGATAAGCTGGTGCAAAGTCTGCCTTATCGTCGGCTGTCTCGTTTGTTCCTCTACTTGAAGGAGATGAGGAAAATGAGGAAGACCCAGATGTTACGAGGGCGGCTTCGAGCGAACCAAGGACGCCGGAGAGACCGGTGAGGCGCAGCGTCATCAGTTCAATACTGACAGCATAAGCTTCGTCGGCGGCAACGTCGTAGCTGCCGAAAGAGAATTTCCAAGGCCGATTCGCGTGTTTGGTAGTATATCGGGTCGTATGCTGAGTCTCAGCTGCGTTGGTAGTGTTGGCCGTAGCTGGAGTTAAGGTGTCCAGGGAAGTAGTGGTACTACTAAGCTCTGTGGAATTCGTAGCGGTGTCTTCGTTGTCAAGATCCCATATTAGGCACAGCCAGTCGACAAGATGGGCGCACAGGACAGTGACAGCAGTAAGCGGGACGCGCTGTTGGCGACATCGCTCGCAACTCAGTACAGATAGGGAGGGCTGCTCTACCGTGGATGTAATGTGGAGAGCAGTCTCAAGCGGTACCTGCGATGATGTGGTGATCTCTTCGACGCGTGCCAGCGTTCGTAGTGCCAGTAGAGCGCAGCCACAGTCGGTATTTTGCATCTTCTTTGGATTTTCCGATTGTCGTAGAACCTGGTATGTACTTGGGAACAGAGAAAATGCTTACAACATAAATCTCCAGTTAATGGTCCGTGACGAAAGCGATGATGCAGCAAGCTCTTGCCTGGATCTTGAGGCAGACACGATCATCATGACTCTGAGCTGTCAACCTTCCACGCGCTGGGGCCACATTGGTATTCGAATAAGCGGTGTATTTACAGTATAGCGGGGATCTATAGTCAAGATTGTACGGTCAAATGAACGTCGGACTATCTTGCGGCTAACATGTGACCAATTACAACAATCACTTACATACGCAAATACTCGGGGCAACCCAGATTTTTGATAGTGACATTGCTACGCACAGATAACACAACACTGATATCTCACCCCTGTGAAATTGTGTCGTACATCATACGAAGTAAAACGCATAAATGGCGCTAGGAAGTGGGCCCGAATGTGGGCCTTAAAAGCGGGCTCGGTGTGTTTCGTGTTGATTCCCGACATACCTACCTCATGCAACCTTGGCTTTTGCTCTCACTACATGGACTAGTGATGTTGTCGTCGAATTGAGTAACTAGTCCATGAATGAGCCGCAGAACGTTTACAGCCTAGAGCCATTAATGTGCCGATTTGATCGTTGTACTGGCAGGGTAGTTATCTTCTTTTAGATTGTATTACATCCTCCAAAAACCACTTCTATCTGTACTTTATCCAAGAAACACATTGACTTCTGTAACCATTCGGCTATTTTAAAGTTCGCCCTTCGACACACTTTCAGCCTAATGGCCATGTTCGATAATCCAGCAGTTGCTCCAGGCTCTATCGTTCTTGTGACTGGGGCTAACGGTTTTGTTGGTGCCCATGTCGCAGACCAGCTGCTCCAGCAGGGCTATAAAGTGAGAGGCACAGTTCGCGACGCCAAGAAGCACCAATGGCTTGCAGATCTCTTCACGAACAAGTATGGCGAAGGTAGATTTGATCTCATCACTGTCAAGGACATGAAAGAGCCTGATGCGTTTGACGATGCCGTCTCCGGTATGATTCCCGCCTCCACGACATGGTCGTTCGACATTGACATTCCGGTACCGATTAGGTGTCTCCGGCATTGTACATGTTGCTTCGGTGAGAAGTATGAATGTTACACCTGAGGAGTTGCTTCGAATCACTGTGGCCGGCACGCTGGGCTGCCTGCAGGCTGCATCTAAAGAGCCAAGTGTACAGCGATTTGTACTGACTTCGTCTTCTGCCGCGGTCCGCTCGCTGCAGGCATACCGTGGAACTGATACTGTATCTGCGGACGAGTATGACAATCAGACTCTGGCATTAGCCCAGGATATCCCGGCAGCCGCGCCACCAATGCAGAAGTTCATGATCGCCTACTTTGCTTCTAAGGTTGCGGCTGAACAAGCTTTCTGGAAATGGGTGGAGAATCACAAGCCACATTTCTCCACCAATTCCGTGCTACCCTGCACTATCTATGGTAGCCCACTGGATGTTCCTCACCAGGGCTTTCCGTCTACCTCAAAGATACCTCTTCAAATCCTAGACGGCGACACGAATTCCATCCCGCACGTACAACGCTGTAAGTGATCTCGTTGTACCTCACTCGTTTCCGGTCTGGATGGTTACTAAAACTACAGTAGTTTATTATGTCCACGTGCAAGACGTCGCTCGGCTCCATGTTGCCGGGTTAATTGACCCAGCAACCGAGAACGAACGCATTTTTGCATATGCGGGCCCATATTCTATCAATGAGTTCTTCGACATCTTTGCAGATATCGTCCCAGGTTACAAAGCTCCACAGGATATTGCAGGGCTCGATTTTCCGCTGGCCGAGATCGGACCTCGAGGGAAGGCGGAAGCTCTCTTGAAGAAATTGGGTCGACCGGGTTTTATGGGACTGGCAGAGACGGTTGCCAGCAGTGTTCAGACGCGCGTATCTGACCCTAGTAGCTCAAATACTTCATAATACATGGCAATTCCCAGTTGATGTTCTGTCGTAGCGCAACGTTACAAACATGCTAACCTTTGCGTGTCGGTACTTGCTAGTGTGTATTACATCAAAATGGACCAGTAACCTGCGTTTGTATCTTATCTCGCGATAATACAAATGAGCTACAAGTGGAAGGAAATAGCACATGGACGACGAGGTTGTTTCATCACTGCTTCAATCTCACGCCCATTCCAGTCATCCTTAATTTTGCTTTATAGGTGACACTAACCATAGAGTCAGCGCACTACTAAGTAAGTTATACATCACAAATTCACATCTTCCTGACAGTTTCTTATACGAAGATTAACATAATTCCTATCTCCTGGATAGTTGGTTTGGCTTGGAGACAACAAGAGCTTTTGTGCAGTATATCAGGAAAAGTTCAGAAGTACACCATCGCCAGATTACCGGTATATCTTCGAGCTTCAGGCAGTGTCTCCCTGAGCCTCTTCCGCTAACCCTTCGCGCATCGACTTGCTATTGGGGTCCAAATAAGGTTTCTCCCCAATACCGCATACGCGATATCCGAACCGCTCACCAAAATCGTCATAGTCCATAGTCGCGTTGTGCACCATGCTGCGGTTGTCCCAGATAGCTGTTATGCACGTCAATATTCATTGCCGTCGCGGGAACGCATGCTAGATGACCTACCCATGTCATTTGGACCCTGCCACCTGAAGCGGCATTGCAAGTCATGGTTTCGGAGTACCATGTTCATCAGCCAGTCTAGAATCATCTCACTCTCTGTAGGAGTCAGACCGTTGATTGCACCAGGCTATTGTGGGATCTCGATTAGTAGATGCTGCATGGCTTAGATAGTACAAGGTCACATACATATGCGCCAATGGCAAAAACACTCTTCCATCCAGTTACAGGGTTCGTTCGAACGACAGGGTGTACTGCCTTCAATGGAGTACCAGTGTTATCAGGATGACCACGTGCGTCCGAGTATACCTGGATTTTGGCCTTTTGGATGATTTTCTCAAAAACTGTGTAGTAATGTCTTAGCGGAGGAAGCACTTGGAACCATTGTATCGGACTTACATGGTGCGGTGTAAGTTGCAGTATGTTGTTCAAGGAACTTTCGCATTGGCTCGCTGAGGCGGTCATATATTTCGTAGCCAGATGCCCACAAGGTGTCTACGACAGGTTGGTAAGGGCTGTCCGTCGCCAAGTGTTGGAGAGAAACTTACCTCCTCCAACGGAGGGCAGTTCCACAAGGCGTAGGCATGTGTAATCCGAAGGTACTTGTTCAGACTGAATATCACTGTGCCAAGACTCGAGTGCTTGTCTATCGCTTCCTATGTCACGCGGTATAGCCTTACCATTGACCATCTTACGTTGGCGAGAGTTGATAGTGCTGATGTGGAGATCGTCGCCCCCCATTTGTCTCTGAGGGTTGAGTACAGGGTGAATGTGCAGTGTAGATTCCTTTGGCTTGCCTACCAGCTCACCCATGCGTTGAATTAGTGTCTTTTGAAGATCGTTGTTCATGTCGCTCTGATTGCGGAAGAACACCACGCCGCGTCGAGATACTGATATGGCACACCGATCAGCTCCGTCCTCTTCAGGACCTTTTTCATTCTTGACTTACTGGTGATTGCCAAGTCTCTGAGCAGTTCGTCTGAGTTGGGCGCTTTGAGCATTTCAACGAGATTGGCCTCCGGGAACTCCGTGCCTACACTGGGCGTGACCATGAATTGCTTAAACGTTTCGAGAACACCCTTCAGCTTCAACGGCTTCGCGAAGCTCGTTTCGTGGGCAAGACCTCTGCGCAGGCATGGTGATCGAGCTGATTGGGATACGGAGGAACGCAGCACTGGAGCCGCTCGGCTAAAAAGGGTAGTGGCAATCGGCGACATTAGAAACAACGAGAGGCTTATGACTGGAATCACAGGACAACAGGAAATATCAATGGTATTTGAATTGATGATTGTGCCTACTAGACTTCTCGCATAGCCTACTAATTAACGCCCAGCTTAGACCAAGATATTGGAAACACGGCACATTCTGCGCGTTTCCCTAAAGTGACACGACACTCAGAAGACGCTCATAAAGCTACGTCGCTGCAATAATTATCCGATCAAGTCGTGACAGAATACCGAAGAAGTGCGTTTCATTGGACGTAATGTAGCAGAGTGCGGGTAGTCGTGCAGTGCAGCCTGACGAATAGGGGCCCTGCTACAGGCCTGGAACGAGCTAAACAGGCTACACTTCTTAGCATCTGGCATTAACTAATTTGTGGCTAGAGTATTCTTTGAATGGATTGCGTGCATTCGAAGTGTTGGGCCGGAGTATTTTGCACCAAAAATGAGCCGAACCGGAACAATTGCAAAGTAACCCCCGAAAATCGACTACCGAGACAGCACACACAACAACATTGCTGTATCTACACATTGAGACGCGATGGCAACATTGATTTGATTGACTATAAGATCGGGTGTCGGTACAATGCATTCACAGCACCTGCCACCTTGTGCGTCCTGTTCGTCCCATATGCTTTGATCTGCCAGTCTTACACAGAGAAAGATCTACATTATAATCACTCCACTTGAACACTCAACTCCGTTCTTTTTGTTGCTGATTGCAAGTTTCGCAAGGGCTGAATACTATTCATATCTCATCAATGGCTAAGAAGATTGTCGTAGTTACTGGTGCGACAGGCAACCAGGGCTCTGCCATTGCCCGTGTGTTGATGAAGACCGGAGATTGGCACGTTCGCGCTGTGACCAGAAACCCTAATGGAGAAAAGGCGCAAAAGCTCGCTGCAGAGGGTATGGAAGTTGTTCAAGCCAGCTATGATGATGAGGAGTCTGTCCGGAGCGCCTTCGTTGTGAGTGATCTGCCTACTGCGCTCCTTGCTTGGCAGACATCGTTTAATGCAGTGACAGGGCGCACAAGCGATCTTTGCGGTCACCAACTGGTGGGAGGCTTTCCAGAAAGGAGCGAGTCAAGCTGGTGCTGGCATAATCGAAGAACGCCAAGGTATAACGCTTGCCAGGCTGGCTGCGGAAGTAAAGACGTTAGAGCACTACATCTGGAGCACACTCCCAGCGGCAGACAAGATTACCAACGGGGGGTATCCTGTTCCTCATTTTGACTACAAGGCCAAGGTCGATGATTATATCTGGAAATCCATGCCAGCACTTGCTGCGAAGACCACATTTCTCATGTTCGCTTTCTATCCGTCCAATTTTGCCTTCTTCCCCCTGTTGAAGCCCTTACCGGTGGTAGGTCAATGATACCAGAACGGAGTGCGGACCACACTTTTGGCTAACAAGGGCTAACAGGTCACTGCTCCCGGGACATACACATGGATGGTCCCCACAAGTCCATCAACCCTCTATCCCATGTCAGGTGATATGACCAAAGATCCAGGGGTTTGGGCGCGCCAGATCTTGGCCAACCCGAAGTTGACACATGGTAAATACGCCGCCGTCTGTACTGAGGTCATGACTCTCGGAGAAGCACTGTCACAGTGGGCAGAGGTGTCAGGCAAGAAGGGGGTGTATGTTGAGGTCAAACCCGATGTGATTGGTAATCTTTACGGGCTAGCAGGAGACGAAGCTGTCACGGGCGTACTGTTTGGTGAGGCAGTGCCAGATTGGTTTGCGCACGTCAAAGAACAGGGTCTGTTTGTCACGAAGGAAGAGTTAGGTATCTCAGCTGATGAGGTTTGTAACTTTAAGCAAAGTCTTGAATTGCTTAAGGACCATCTTGGATAGATAGATATAGTAGTTTTATAGACTAGCCTGTTACAAGTAGCTCTACTAGAGTAGCTTCACTGTTCTTTTGAAGCTTCTATCTATAGTAATATAGATATAATCTATCTTGCTTTATAACAGTATCTTTTAAGCTATAATACTATAAAGATTCTATAAAAGCTTTATTAATATATAGTTCTAGTTGTAGGCAATAGTACTTGCTTTACACTAGGATAGATAGTTAGGAGATAGGTAGGTACATTATATTGCAAGAATAATACTTAGATTTATTGGAGCTTACGCCTAGCGCAGGTTTTGCGCAGGTCGCTTACTAACAACGCTAACCCTAGGCAGTGTAGGCGCTAGAACACCAACACCATAACGAATATCGCGATAGGCGTTACAATTAAATAGACTTACTACATTAGAATTCCTACAAGATAGATTGTTTACAATATTTATACTAGGATATAAATAGAGACATAGAATTTTCTAAAGTATAGATATTAGTAAAGTTAATAGAATAGATTAAGAAACTTAACTTGCCTAGTATAATTAAGCAAATGCTAAACACCAGTATTCACAGCCAAAGTTTTGTGTGGTTAGTGCGTGCGTGCCACTAATGCACGGACGTTGACCCAGACCGACCGATTGAAGACCGCCGACCGACCGACACGGATCGATCGAAGCCAACCGACACCGATCGAGGAACGCCGATAGACCGACACCGATTGAAGAATGTTATCCGACCCATACCGATCGAAGAATACCTCCGACCAAACCATGGGAACGGCCCGCCGGGTAAACGCTGGACACGCTTTTATCCGTGCACGCGCGAAGTACAACACAAGGGGTAACATGAGCGGACGAGAATACGAGGTGCCCCACAAAGGTTCCTCGAGGTTTCTGAAGGGTTAGTCCTCACATTGGACAGATCCTATAGCTATTGGTTGTTCTGTGATCGACGCCCACGTTCGTATCGTTGTCCGCTCATGCTCACCCCTTGTATATGTTCACCGCTTGTTCGATTGTCCGCAAGTGACGGACGGACGGTCCTAACCAGGCAGCGTTCCTGCGTGCATCAGGAGAAAGGGATCTTGTTGCTATGACCTACGTGGCCTGCGTCACGCCACTATACGCACGAGTCAGCACTGCCCGAAACTCTCGTGCGGTGTCCTGCGGTGTCACGACTCCGACTGTCCTCACGCCGACGAGCAATGACCCCCAGTAGGCCCTTTTCCATCCTCTCCGTTCAGCTATCTGCAAGCGCAGGCACGAGCTCGCCAAAGAAGCCATAGCGTCAGAACATTGCATGTGTCGTACAACAAAGCAAATCGAGCGTCCAGCGGTGATTGAGAACAGATGGGCACCGAGCTTTCCATCGATTACGGCGGCTCCAATTCTGCACCGGAAGTCAATGTGGCTCCAGAGGTGGATGCTATGATTCCAGAACCTGTGCGTTCAAATGTCCTGCTCTTGTCGTACCCAGTACTAATAGCTACTCTCCTACCAGATAACGGTGGAATGGAAGCCATGGTGAGTGCAGGGAGACTTGACTTCATTATTTGACATACTACATTTGCCTTTTCCTCGCATATTGATACGGTTTGCGAGGCTGCGTAAGCTGCACATATATCACAGGCATTGGGCCGGACAATGTATCCGCTTACGACACCTCGAAGCCCGCAATGTCGCATTTCGCATCGTATTCACGAACAATGCGCTCGTACATGGCCATACCGCCTCCATGTAGCACTTTCCTCATGGCCAGCCGCCTCTTTTCCGGGTCGCTGCCAGCCATACGTGAAGCGGCGCCCTCGTGGTTGAAAGTGCCCGGAGTGCAGGCGAGAACCACAGAGAACCACAGTGCGTACTTTTCAATCTCATCCGTCCAGGCATCTTCTGCTTGCTTGGTCGGCTCGATGACAAGCTGGGTCGGGTCGGAATGCCGACGTGTCGCCTCTTTCAACACGTTGGCCAAATGCGTAGCCTCGATGTCGAACACCGCGGTGAGATTTGGCGAGCCCGTACCGCCACCAAGGCCGGGATAGAGGAAGTTGGGGAAACCGTTAGTGGCGATGCCATGCATAGTGGCAAAGTCAGCAGCACCGTATTTGTCCTTTAACCGGCGACCGTTGCGGCCCACAACAGGGATGCCAAAAAGCTCAGCGGGCGCCGCGTTTTCGCCTGTCGCCAGCAGATATCCCGTAGAGAGGATTAGTACGTCCAGCTCGTATTCGATTCCATTAGCGACAAGACCCCGCGGCGTGTATCGCTCTACGCCGTGGCCATCCGTATCAACGAGCGTGACGTTCGGTTGATTGAAAGCAGGCAGATACTCGTCCTGGAAGGTCGGTCGTTTGCACCATGTAGGATACCACGGCTGCAACTTCTCTGCTGTGGCCCGATCAACCACCACATCAAGTGCACGTGCCCGTGCTTGCTCGGCCAGCGGCACGTCTATAGCATGAAGCGTACGTACGTGCTCCTCGATTGTGTCGGGCGTGACGTGTCGTGGTCCTCCGATGAAGCCCGCAAAGCCTCGGGACAACTGCGTCCAGCTGTCGGCGACGAGATCAGGATGATCCGCCGGATACTGCTCGCCATCAAAGAAGGTGTCGAAATTCAGGCGACGAGCACGCTGCCAACCAGGTCCTATCGCCACATCACGTGCCCATGTACCGGGATCGGTTTTCTGTTGACGGCGCGGGCCGCAGTACGAGGGCGTACGTTGAAAGACGTGTAGATGTCCCGCCCAGCGTGCCAAGTGCGGAACCACCTGCACTGAAGTTGCACCTGTGCCCATGATCCCAACTCGCTTGCCCCGCAGTTTGGAGAGAATAGGATCGGTCGGTGAGCCACCTGTGCAATCATAATCCCAGCGTGCCGTGTGGAAGATAGGGATATTGGCACGCAACTCCTCCAAGCCGGGCAATCTGGGCATCCTAGGCTCTGTGAGGATAGTGCTACAAGGAATGACAAACTGGGTGAAGATCTTGAACTCAACACCGTCGCGCTCTCTGCGCAGGTGCACTACCCAGCGGCGGCGCTCTTCATCCCACGTTGCGCTGAGCACGCGTGTCGAGAATTGGCCGCGCAGCTCGAAGTGCGATGCCACACGCTCGCAATGTTGGCGGAGCTCTTCGCCTGAAGCGTACTTGCTCGAGGGCACGTAGCCTGTTTCCTCGAGGAAAGGCATGTAGATGTAGCTCTCTACATCGCATTGCAAGCCTGGGTATCGATTCCAGTACCAGGTCCCACCAAAACCGCCCGCTACATCTACCAGACACACTCCCTTAGCCGAGAAGCCCGCCTCCACCAGACGTCCTCCTGCCAGTAGCCCCACGTGGCCTGCACCGATAATGAGGAACTGGATGTTGTCGCCATCCTTGAGGGGTCCTGCATCCTTTGATTTTTCTTGCTGCTGCTCTTGGCTGATCCATGGATCATGGTCGAACGGCTTCGCCTCCTCTCCAGCTAAACGTGCGTATTGTTGCAAACCATCAGATCGCAATCTCTTGTCGCGCTCCTGGGCATATCGGTCTTGAAGGGCGGTTGAGTCCGGAACAGCCATGTTTGACTTTCTGTCGTTCCTTCGAAAAGGATCAATGAGTGGGAAAACTTGGCACTAATGAGATTTTGACCCTCGCAAGCCAAAACCGCACTCTTATTCTACTGCTATATCTCTGCTTGATCTCGCTGCGCCAGATCCTTTGGGCCGAACATCGATAGTACAGCTGCACAAGTGCTATGTGCCGTTATCTCCCTATGGTGCCCGTTACGTCGGACTCCGGAACCATTCGAAATCCTCCGGTGTGCATTGTTGATCTTCATCCCCACCAATGGCGATTTCGGGATCTTTGGAACTCCCTGGTATGGCTTGAATAAGATCACATGTAGTATTATAGTGTTATGTCAGTGCCATCAAGTGGACCAAAGCTGCTATTGCCGTCAGTTCATGTGAGTGCTGGGAACTGCATCGATAAACCATCGACCAATGGTAGAGTCGAGGTCCGACAACTGCCTCCGGATTCGGCATATACCCACCCGCAACAACCCAATCATCTCATTCCTGAGTTTGCAGGTTGTAACGGTCGTCATATGACTTTCTCGGTAGAGAGGCACACTATCCTTGATGAGGCTGCTTGGGCCTGCCACCGCATATATTGGCTGGTTCGTGAAACATGTGCACTGAATCTATGCCGCCGACCCATGAAATTTGAATGGTGAAGGTTGTACCAACGGCGCATATCCGAATACCATGTGCTGATTTGGTTAGTTTTCAAGAGCATCGCGGCGAGATTTTTGGTTACCACAGCGAATCTACCGATGGATCGCTTAAACCTCCCGAGCGAGCTAGCATGCTGAGTAAACGACGTTTCGAATCGCGACTCAATATGTAGAACTCTGAAATATCGTCTAATTTAAGTAGTGGTTCAACATCGAGTGTCAGAGGCTGTAGAAATACTTCATTCCGAGTTTCGTCTCTTCCTGGACTACCTCTCAAGCCTACGCATCGTAGTTGGGCTATCAACATCATGACGTCTCAGTACACTTTAGTGGAGACAGCGTTCGAGAAGACTCCCAAGTCAACAGTGCACGAGCGTGCGACTAGCGAACCTTCCTGGCGACCCTATCTAGATCTTGTACGCCTGAGCAAGCCCGCCGGGCTCTTAGGCACTTACTTCCCCTACGTCATTGGCCTCTTCTATTCGATCAACGTGACCGATCCGAAAGCATTTTCCGCAGCTAGCTGCATCAAGCTCATCTTCATATTCCTACTCGATAGTTTGGTTCTGCGCAGCTTCGGCTGCGCATGGAACGATACTGTTGACCAAGACCTTGATCGGCAGGTCGAGCGCTGCAAAAAGCGGCCTCTTGCCCGCGGTGCCATCACAACGTCAAACGCTCTCGCTACGACTCTTACTCTCGCGATTGCACGCCACATCTTAATTTACGCCACGTTACCAGCCCGCGCCAGTCAGCACGCCATACTCACGACGGTACTTGCTCTCATCTACCCCTTCATGAAGCGTCTGTGCAACTTTCCGCAGCTCTGCCTCGCCACGGGTGTTGGATGGGCCGTCTTTTTCGTTGACGCTGCCGTTGTCGACGGAGATTATGCAACCGAAACCGTCACCAACTATCGAGTTCAGGATCGCAGCAAGGCAATGTTTGCTCTCTACGCCTGCCAAACCATCTTCAACATGACCTACGACACTATCTATGCCTTTCAGGATATCCAAGATGATCTGAAGGCGGGTGTCGGGTCCTTGGCCGTCGCTGTTCGTCGTACGCCTAAGCTTTTTCTGCTATCAATGGCAGGCGCCATGGCCGTTTGTTTGTGGGCCGCTGTTTTCTGGGGCAGTTTGACTCGGGGTCCATTCCTCGGTGGCGCCGCTGTCTCTTCTTTTGCCGCGTTGTCAATGTTGGTTCGACTGGATGTAGGTAACCCACGAGAGTGTAGGGACTTCTTCGTGAACAGTCAGTGGTGGGTGAGTGGCATGCTGGCGACTGGTCTGGTTGGTGAGCTGATGATGGCCAACATGTGAATGCAGAGGCCCAGGACATAACAGGTCACTGGTCGTATTAGAGAGGACGTTAGGAAGTACCCTGTGACTAGGGGTGACACATTTCAGGAAGACACGACATGGCTATAGCCTTACCTCCTATAAGAGCAACATGAATAGGTCATGGACCCAGTACAGCGAGTAGAGTTTTATCTTTATTACATGCATATGTTAGAATGCTTACACTATCTGACTTCCCATACTGTTGTGTAATTTACAGTCAGGTCTTTGCATATAAATGACAGATAGAAGCTTGACTAAGCACAGAGTAATATTTCAAGGGAGTAAGTTGTTGCGGATAAACAACACAAGCCGGAGTCCGGGTTACACAAAAGTCCACCGAAATTCCGTCTAAACACTCGAATCTATAAGCTTCGCATCAACCTTCCTAGAACTTCCTGTCGAGTCTTGTCTTTGTTGTCGCAACGTAGATACACATTCAGTCACATGAGAAACAACTGACATGCACTTCTGTAGAACAAATATATATCAGTATCCTATCGTTACAATCTCTCGTGGATCATTCCCGAGACACTGACTACCTGAATACCGTCTCCGTACATGCTGTACGGAACAAACGCGTCCCGTTTCAGCCCAGCCCTTTTGAATATACGATCCCATTCAAGCAGCGATCTCTCTCGTGCCCCGTAATTGGCCATCATCAACAAGTCAAACGATGCTCCATACCAATGTCCACCACCATCCTGCATGACAAGCTCGTCCAGTAAGATGACAGAGTTCGGGGCAAGGGCATCTTTGAGTTGGCAAAGGATATCGTGGCAGACTTGGTCCGGCCAATCGTGCAAGATGTTACGCAGGTAATAGATGCACGCACCCTTGACTGGTTGCGGCTGGGTAAAGTCATGATGAATCACCTGCAGGCCTTCAATTTCTTTAGCCGAGTCAATGGCTGCTGCATGTGTGTCCTGCAGCACAACATGCCCCTGAAGCCAGGGAAATCTTCTCAAAATCTCCCTACACTGATGTCCGTGGCCGCCCCCAACGTCCACAATGAAGTGATGGTGATTAACTCCTGTGCTAGAGCTTTTCAGGTACTTCTCGATGGGGAAAACATCGAGCCAGCTTTTTTGGCCAATACGCTGGAATGACATGTACTCGTTAAAGGCCTGCTGATGCCGCGGCCGCTGTGACAACCACTCAAAGAAGTGCAGATCTGTGTTCTTGCTTAGATTGAAAGGAAGGTTTTTGCTGTCCTGTGGCTGCTTGTAGGAATTGGTGGCCAGCCATTTGGGGATTGCATTGTACAATGCAATATTCCTCTCCGTTCTATGCATTTTGTTAGTCGATGTTGTCGAACTAGAATGCAAAAGTACCCACACATGAAATACTACCGACTCCAGCCCGGACATTGACAGGTAACGCGTGATGTTCGTCGCCCGAAACATGTCAACGCCAACTTGCTCGACCATCCACTGCGTTGTCGCATAGCGCAGCACTCTCTTCAACAGTGCCTCTTCGGCGCCCAACTGAGCAGCCATATCGCTCACGCTTATTGCCGCATCTCCGTGCTCAGTCAGCAGCTTCCACAATCCCAGATCTATGCCCACCTGGGCTATGTTCGGCGGAAGTGAGCAGAATATCAACCGCTGCATGGTGTCCCATGGTTGCTCGAGCCTCAACGAGGCCATCTTGGCGGCTTCGAGAAATCGAAGTCGCTTCCCCTCGTCATTGCTAAGGGAGGCAGGAATGACACCGGCAGCGAAAAGTTCGATATGCTCGAGAAGATCATCGGTAGGATTTTTTACCTCGAGATCCACTTTTGAGACCTCCATGGCTGCTGAACTGTTGCTGATGGGCTGTTGTAAAGGTCGACAAAAGGTCAGATGTGGAACACTGGAACCAGCAACAGCGATACATTCTAGAAAAAGAAGAAATTCTGCTTGTGAATTGATCTTGTCTTGGCTGACTCGGAGACTTGTTCTACATTTCCGCTATCAACTTGCATGATCGGTGGCCGAGGCAAAGACCCCGGACGGTGTCGTATCTCCAAAAAAAAGCGGCGAGAAAATCAATTTAAAGCCCGCGTTGTATTCTCCGATACAAGGAAACGGGCCGACCTATCAGCCTATAACTGGCACGGATGTCACCGACCGCTTGATACTGCAGCGAATGAGCCAATTTCCCAGGTTTGTTGTGGTTCCTGCACATGATTGCGTCCGACGCCTGTCTGTTGCCTTGAAACACATCCGAGCGTCGTCGTGGAAGGTTGCACTAACGATTAATCAGACGAACTTCTTCATTACACAATCGATTTCAGTATACGGGTTTTGCTTGTGCTGTTGTCGATAAGAATATCAGTGCAATCTACTAATATTCTCTCAGAAGGGTTCGTAAGAATTGTAACAGATGTATTCGTTCAACGGACTATCAGAGGTAGGCAAAAGGCATCATCGACGTACCCAACTCGTTTGCAGCTCTTGTGACTATCACGGTTGTAATTTGACAGTCCCTACCTTGTCTGCCACTTTCATTGTGAAGTCCCATACGGTATCTGCACACAACTGAAGCAATACTCTCCTCACTGCTGCGCGTTCACTGACCATGAGGCCAGAAAGTAACGTTTCTCGCAGCCGTTCCAGCACTCTCTGCATCTCCAAGAGTCGTTTCGTCTGGAGCACCCGAAGGACGGCACGTTTGTCGGCACCCCGGATTGGCAACGATCCACAGTGTAGAATCTCGTGCTCGTGCCCTGGGTCGGCTTCTGGCGATGAAACTAACGTCTCGTTGCTACTACCGCCACTCGTGCTGCTTAAAGAGGACGGGGACGATGATAACGAGCGTGCTTCTTTCTCATAACTTGAGGAAGGCACCATCGTAAGCGACCAAAGGGAGGTGCTCCCTAACTTGAGTGAAAGGAGGGCTCGATCAATGGCTTCGCAGATGGCAAGCGCAGTCGAAGGGCGCGTGGGGCACCCATTTGGGCACCCCATCGCGGTGAAGCAGCAAGTAATCAGTATCCTGGTGGTAGATAAGGCGGAGGCAGCAAACGAAGAGGAGAGCCCGCTGGCAGGCGTGGAGAGGTAATCAAGGATGGTCGACACGCATTTGCACTCTCCAGTCGAGAAGTGGAGGTAATCCGAAGGCTGTGAAACTTGTGGCTGAGTCTGCAAGCAGGCAACGTCCACGTTGTCGACGCTTAGAGTCGCCATCGATTCGTGTTCTTGGTGTTGGTCTGATATTTGACAGATTTGATGGTCTTCTAGAGAAGGGAAACCAAAGTATAGTGGCTCTTCATCGAGGAAAACAGGTACGGGAATGGGTTGTTCATGTTCCTGTCGTTGCTGATGTTGATTTTGTCCTCGTGGCGCACCGCAAATGCCTATATCGAGAAGCCCAGGAGCAACCTCATATTCGGGAGACATGGACATGTAGCAACCCAGGCTTTCCTTAGGATCACCGCCTTGTGAGTCGGTAAAATCGTGCAACGCCTGCATGAAGTTGTCGTCTGATTGTTGGTATGAAGATAAATCCAAGTCGTCGATCGCCGGATCCGGAATAGGTTGCGTTGGAATGGGTATATTGGACGTGTTGGAGCAAGAGCAGGGGTTCTTGCTGATATTGCGAGTGCGTGGGCGCCCAGCGCGTCGTGCCGGACTGTAAACACATTTCATGCCCTTCTTTGCGCATCTGCGACATGTGGGTCGTTCCTGATCGCATCTAATCTTGGATTGTTGACAGCTGTCACATGCAAGACGATACTTTGTAGGCTTTGGTGTTGGAGCGCTGTCATGCACGTTTGAATTGCCGTGTTGCATGTTGACTTTATTTTGACACTAACAGGTGACGTTATAGGCACGGAGAATAGTAGCGATGCTGCGATATATTTATATAGAGTTCTTCAAGCAGCGCTTGCCGGGCACTTGGCATACTGCCGTTGTTTATCAAGTCGGTAAAAGTACACTGTATACCCACCACCAAATAGAACCGAGTTTATATTGTGCTACCTAGTACGCATGTACGTTAGGACCGATAGCTGCAAGAACTAAAAAAAATATGACTATCAAGCGAAAACAGCAGGAGGACACGTCAGCTAGCACTCTTAAATCTATCCCGTATCTCGGGATACTGCTTGACATCGACCTCTCCAGCCTATCAAACATTGATTACGTCCACGAGGAGAACAGCGGTCTAAGGAGACTAAGTTAGAAGGGCCTTTGTCGGTTGCACCCACATTTTAACCGTGTAACAAAATCTCACACAGCTGCGCAACATTAGTCCATGTACCTAGGTACAAGTAGATGCGGCAGTTGTGGTCCGATATGCCAGCCCCACTACTAGCGCGTCCGGGCGCGGCGTGCACGTGTTGGGATCTCCGCGCAAAGCGCATAAGCTGCCTTGTACCTATTACGTATCTATATAACATAAAACATAGATCTATATACTATACTCTATATACCTATCTATTGTCTAGCCCTATAATCTAGTACTATAACTCTTTACATAGTTAGTTGTAGATTCAGCTAAGTAGACTAGATCTATATAATAGATAATAGATAATAATAGGTTTTAGTTTGAATAATAAGTAAACAATATAATAGTCTAAAATAAGAGATAATAAGGTATGTTAAAAGAAATAATTTATAAAGCATTAGATAGTTAAATTTTTTATCTAGAAGCATAGAGCTTTATCTAATAAGTAGAACACATATTTATCTAGGACGTACCTTGTATGCCTCCGGGCATGTCTCGGGCTAAAACCGGCGCGCCTGTCCGCCCCTCTCATATCGTGCGACTTGCACTCAAAGGATTTGTTGCATCTTGTGTTGGACGATACCAGATTATATGATCACTAGCATCCCTCACACATGTGTTTGTTTGCGTGCTGACAATAACTAGAGATTACTTGTTATCTACAAGTAGTAGCCGCGCTGTTGTTCGATGAGATTAGCGTTGAAGAACGACCGAGCAGGTGCAATTAAGAAATGAGAAAACAACCGAAGAATCCGCGCTTTCTGTGAAGCCTTGCGGATACAGGTTTCTTGTAATATGCGCTTTAGTGTCAACCAATGGTCTTTCTTAGGGTGACAATCCGGGCACTGTTACCCATGAAGTATATCTCCAACCTGAGGCTGAGCGCGTCCAAGCAGCGTATCACGAGCGTTGTAAACCACCTTCCGTCGTCAAGCAGCTCTTGGTCGCCGGCATCGACACATCGGCGGATCGCCACACCATGCTCTTCCATTATCACCTTGACATGCGTTGAGCTTTATCCAGACTTGTAGGACCTGGGAGCACTTGCAGAGCGAAGGCGCATCTGGTTTGGGAACAGACAGCGGCCTGCTTTCTCTGAATCCTGTGATGCCGGCGCGACGTCGACGCACCTCGATGGTGCAGCTCCGGTATTGCGTAGAGTCTGCATCTGGCTGTGTGGTGCCTTCTCCTTCTACGCGAGCTAGCCTCAACCTCCACTGACATCTTTCACTAGCTGTCACTGCCACCACTTCTCATTCCTCCCTACCACTCCAGCAGATCGTGTCATGACCGGGCCAGATACGCCTGACAACGTGGTCCAGTCTCTTGCGCAGCACCTTGACGACGCTGGTGACACGAGGGCCGCGCTCAGAAAGGTCTGGTTGACCCATCTCGAGTATTTGATGCCATTGCGCTCCGTGGCCAGCGACGCAGATCTCGAGAGCTTTCACACAGTTTGCGCCTGGTACCTCACCCCAAACTACCTCCTGCGATATGAGCAAGAGCTCGCTGCTCGAGACGTTGATGTCATCAACAGCAGCCGCCGCATCGCTGCCATCAGCCGCCTCGTCGAGGTCTGGGGCGCCACTGCCATTTTGAAGGTATGGCTCTACGCTCAATATGGTGCCGCGCTGACGTTCTGAGATACGCCAAGGTCTGCGCGACCAGCTGCCGCTGCCTACCGTCCCGAACCGTGACTTCCTCGTGGAGCTCAGCAAGATTGCCACAGCGCGCTACCATCTGAGGGCATTTTTGCAGGACCTTCCGCCATTCATCGCAGGCAGAATCCACACCTGGCGAGCACAGGATCCGCGCTACGAGAACCACGAGAAGCGGCCTTGCCTGCAATTCAAGCACTTGAAGGCTTTCTATCAAGACAAGTACGTGCCGGAATTTCTTCAAACCGGCAAGGCTATACTTGCGGCTGAACCTCCTGCAAAGCGTCAAAAGACCGGCGCCAATACACGAGTCACTCGCACTGTTAGAAGTACAAGCGCTCCAGACAAAGGCGCTGAAGCCTCTGGCTCAGTCGAGGTTGGCGTCTTTCGCCCCGACGACGTCGAGATCCCTCGGCGGGCAGATACACCTGAGCGCCAAGTCAACGATTCCGTCATCCCGAATTCAAGCCCTGCTCCATCGACCGACCTATCAGAGCAGTCGAATGAGGCTTGCGCACGGCATAGCGACACCTTACTCCCCATTGACAATACTGTATGTGAGAACCCTGAGCTGCCAATCAGCAACGACCCGTCGTTTGCCGACGAGCCTGGAGAAGGCAGCCTTATCAGCGAGGACAACCCGACCCGGATCGAGCCCGGCGTCAATACGATGCCGCGAACTGGAAAGCAGCCTTCAGAGGCAATGCGAGCAAGCAAGGATGTTCAGGAGAAATTCAACGACTTCGTCCAGCAGTTTGGCATGAACCCAGCGCTCCAATGGCTTATCGAGACGGCGAGGCAACGAGAGGCGCTGCGAGTGCAGGGAAAAGCAGCAAATGAAGCCTATACGGCGGCAGAAGATGCAGTGAGCCGACTGGAAGAGTCAATCCAAGCAGAATTGCTGCCCGGCAAGACCTTGAGCGAGGCCATGACCGACGCACACGAGGACCTACAGATCACAGAGGACGTCTACAACAGACTGATGTCGTTGGGAAAGGCTGCACAGGAATTGCTACCCGATGTGGCTTCTGCGGGGTTGCAGGGCTCCGCCCAGATCCAGTTCAAGGTCAACGAGTCATCAGCCGCCTCCGTCAGAGCGGCCAGGGCTCAAAGGGTCAAAGATTTGGCCGACTTCGCTGATGAGCTGCAGGAGAAGGAAGAGGATCGCACTCGAAAAGAAGAGGAAGCCGACAGGCTGGAAGAGGAGTACGCGCAGATCAACGCAAAGCAGGAGAAGCTGAGAGGGTTGTTCAACATGAGACACGACCAGCCGACGCTTGCGGCATTGGCAAAGCTTCCCTTGCCGTCGGACGTGCTCAATTAATGACACTCGCTTATGAGGATAGTAACTAGAATGAGTGTATCTATACCAGCTCACAATATATGGGCCTGTAGGGTAGATTTAGATCTTCGAGTCGGACGGTTGCGGTTCCAGCCAATGAGCGATCACGGATAGAGGAATTTCGACATCTTGCACGCTGATTGGGTGACCCCGTGACCAGCCTCGATCACGACACCTGTGCAATACACACCGCGTGCACGCGACTGTGATTTCGTCCAGTCTGGTGCCATGTCACTGACACCAGCAGCTCGGCGCTGTCAGCATGGACATGACGGCGCGCTCGATGGCGCTCAAGGCCGCCCCTGCCAAGTTCGCGACGGAGCTCGTCGAGGGCCTCCAGCGTCTCTGCCCGCCGGCCAGAGCAGTTGCGGCAGCTCCCGCTCCCGCCCCCGACGAGCCTCTGGGCACGACTCTACCGATGAACGCCTCACAGACGCCGATCCGATGAGCTGCAGCAACCGGGGCCTGTCGCTGCCGCTGCCGCTCAACGCTCGTCTCTGCCGCCCCGGGTCAGCGCCATCGAGCTCGCGTCGTCCCGAAACCCGAGCCCCGAGGCCACACCCGCCACGCCTGCCGCGCCCGCCGCGCACCCCAGCAGCGTATCTTTGCGTCCGACCGATACCATGGACCTGGGCGCGCGCCGCCGCCTCGTGAGCACGCTCTCCCTGCAGGCGCTCTGCCACCGCGTCCAGTGCTGCGGCTGGCCTTCGGAATCGCGACGCCGCGCGCCCGTGGTCGCGGCTGCCCCACCTCGCAATCTCGACGGGTCACGTGTATGCCAGCGGGCGGCGACTGATGGGGACACGGTCGAGGCGACGGGCCCCTCCGTTCTCCGGCTTGACAGGCTCGGCCGAGGGGAAGGAGAGCACGTCGGGCTCGCATACACACTGTGGTTGTCCTGGGCGCCAAGGCCGCCGAGAGGAAGGAGCGCGCGGTGCAGCTCGGAGGTGCTATTGTTGCTCGGAGGTGCTACTGACTGTTACTCGAAAGCCTCATGCTTCTCTGGTCGTGCTCGTTGGCGTTCACGGATTTGGACGGGTTCCGGGTGCCTGTGTGTCCGCGCCGACCCGCGTACAACACAGAGTTCGTCCGGACCCTGCGATATTGTACCCCACCGCTGCAGCTGGCTGGTTCGGGCGGCCGGCTGGCTCGGAGACCGGTCTGATCCTCCGTCTGCAGCCGTCCAATCACAGCACCGCCTGGGCAAATACAAGCTCCAAGATGCCGTTAAGCGCCATGGGATATATTAGAACTCCACATGTCAACAAGGACGACGTTGACAAGCTCGGCGGTGTTTCGAACGAGAGTCGGGTTAGGAGATAAGCTTGCTAGGCACACATTCACAGAAATGAGCACCTCGGCGTTATCAGCGCGACCTCATCTCCCAGCTCCCGTTATCGCCACCATCAAAGACAACGACCCATCCAGGCCCCACCGTCTCACGATCGCCATACAACGATGCCCAGACACGGCAGTTGATATCGTTCCTCTCAATATCATTTTCTGTCCATCCTAACTGGAACATGACTCGTCGCTACAAGGAGGGTGCCTGTGGAGGGTGCCTGTGCGGACTGGAATACATATATGGGCGTCGATCCTGGATTGACCAATACAACGTGTTAGAGATAGGTGCTGGCCATTGAGAATCGCCGAGAAACCTCTGTGGAGCACGTCGTATTCCAGTCCGCACAGGCATCCCGCTTGTACTGATCAGAGCGCCACATCCGCTATCCACGCTGCAATGCACCCTCCATCTTAACAAAAGCAAGCAAATCCAGCCGCGAAAACCTCAGAACTCAACTTCGATTTTCTAAGATTGCGATGAGTAGGTTCGAATCAAGTCGCATCCATACGCCAACCCAAGTCAGTCCGCCACCACAGGTCCTTCGGGAAGACGTGTATGGCTGGGCCGTCTTGCTGCCCAACGGTCCCGCGGAGAAAGACATTCAGTTGAAACCGCACACTGCCATTCATTGGCCCAGTGTAGTCAGCCCGACGGCGCGTAGTTTACTGATTGTGTGCTCCCACCTCATATACCGGCCACGACAGCGAACTCATCGATAACCCCTACGCGAGAGGAGAGTCGACAGCATGTGCGTGTGTTATTTAGAAAGACTCCATTTGCAGCCGTTGCGCTGCATCGCCTCGCTTGCGAGCATTTTGCGGAGTCGTCTGTAGGTGCTTCTCGGTGTGTCGCACGGGGCGGGCGTTTCATTGTCGTAGAGCACCTCGCGCAGCGTTCGGGCACGGAGTTGGGCATGTGTGTAGACGGTTTTTCCGCGTGGCCGAGATAATCGAAACTATCTCATCTTCTCTGCCGGTGTGACACTTGCCGCGATCGCAATCGTCAGTTCACCGCCGTCAATGTTGCACAATTCACCTTTCTGCCAGCCTCTCAATCCAGTCCGAGATTCCCAACAGACATGCTGACATTGCCCAGCGAGTGGTTCATCGCGTGCTGGAGAAGACAGAGGCTGGTCGATCAGAGCCGGTGCGGGAGGCTATCCTCGTCGCCGACGACTTGGAGGCTATCACTTGTGCCTCACTGGGCTCGACAGCTGGCGATGGATGCGTGTGTCACTTTGCTGTGTAGGGATAGCTATCGATAGGTCGAGTTCAGCTTGCAACTCGGTTCTTTAAGACTCACGTGTTGCACGTACAGGAAAATACTGCGTTATGGTTAGTTTTTGCGATCGTTTGGACATGCTCGACATTTTCAGGCGCAGAGTCTGGATTGCGCACTTCAGCTCCGTTTCAGGCTGTTCATAACCCTTCTGAACTCCGGTTGCCTCCTCAGCGCCTTTGCTCTCATTGCCCTCAGTCTGAGTGTTACTCATCGGCATGGCGACCGCCGACAGCGTCTATGATACTCTGTCAGACTGACCGTGTGCTTGTAGTAAGAGCAAACACAGCTAACCCAAAGGCCTACTTAGATCCCGTCTACGCGCCCTTCTGCTGCGGTCACCCACGGAAGGCAATCTGTTTGCTCGTCGCAGCACGCGATCGCGGCAACCTGGATCACTGGAATGGAGAGCGCTGAAGCCATAACGACCGTCGAATCTCGTACTGTCCTCTGCACTACTGCGACGGGTATCTCGTCAGCTACCTGGTTGGTTCCGGTGCGGTCGTTAAGTTCACGTAACCAAACGGTCATCGCCTCGTCCTGTATCACGTACACCGCCCGGATGCGTTGCGCAGCACCTCTCGCGGACTGCTACTCTGGCGAGAACGCGCGAAATCTGCGGTTAGTCACGACTCAATTCAGGCTGTCTTCAGTATCGCGGCTCTCTCATCTTGGAGGGAAGGTTAGGTCTTCAACGGATCTGGAACTCAGCATCAGAGAGAGAAATGACGAGTATTGAGAATTGTCAAAGGCTCTGTTCGTGAGTAGACAAAGGTGAAGTCGCAGGATTCTGCTTCATCTAGAAGCACATTCTGACAACTTCCTGATTCGAAACCCCCGGGGAGCCTAAGTGCTATTCACCGGGCCTAATCCTCGTGGACACCAAAATTGGGATCTGGTGCAGCAAGTCACTGCTCAATCACGTACCATGATCACAGAGAAGGTGCAAGTCACATGGTCTTGCTCACGAACCTGCACGATCGGGAATAATCTCCGATCAGCTCGGCATCTCAGGCTGATCCTACTCTGAAACAAGGTATGTATTTGGGTAGTTACATCGCCTTAGAGAAGGCAGGGAACTTGATCAATTCACTCAATTACTTTGTTCCATTTCAACCGATCGATTCAGTTGTTCGTGATCCCCAGCCAACAACGGAATCTTAATGCGGGTGCAGATATAGGGCTGTTGACGATATACTGTGATGGTTTCGCAGTCTAAGAGCTCGAGGGGTGTCATGTGTGGCTTGTGAAAGAGTCGCGTTAACTCTGTCGCAGTGACCACTTTTCAGCAGGTCAGGATCCAAGCAACGAAACTGTGCGACTTCAGGTGCACGGTTGGCTTTGAGAAGGGTTCGCTCGAAGATCAGTCGGAGCGGAAGAATGGAGTGATGTTATCGAGGGGGGTTTGGATTGTGAATCAATTTCGTGCGTTCATTTTGTCGCGGCACAAACTTTCTTTTGCCCAACCACGCCTTTCGCAGTAGATCTCATTACAAGTAGTTATTTTTCGTTTTCCTGATTGCATGATTACTTCCAGCATATAATGGGATCTATACTTGCAAACAGCTTTGCTCGAACAAAAAATTAACCATCTTTCCATCTCAGAACTAGAGTCTCACAGGAAAGTAAAACTTGACAGGTTTTCTCTTTCGCATCTAAAACTACCGCAAGGAGACCGCTGATGTTGTTGTCACCTCCTGGCCGAGTTCGAGAAGGCGTCGCCTTCTGGTTTGACGGAAGACTGCGTCCTCAGCTCTACCACTCGAATTGCGTTGCTGCTACATATGTAGAACCCATGCCATCAGCCTTGCTACACGCTTACAAGTCAGTCTACATCCTAAGGCAGCAATGTGCCGACTTCCTACCTGCAAACACAGGCACTCATCCTCTTTCGCTTCTTCGCGGTCTCGGTTTCGCGATTCTGGCGGAACCTAGCTCCATTGCTCTCGAGACAATACAGGCGAGAGGCCTCCTGATTACAGGTTCAAGGGTGATTCCGCAAATTGATCAAGGAGTGAGAGATACGAGGAGCATGAAGACGCTTTGACCGTCTTGAGTTTGAGGAATACTGGGGACGCTACTGGCATACACCCATTTCTCCTCCCAAGTTACTGCAGAGGACGCCTCCGGGACGATAACATTGATTCTATCGGGTGACAACGCGCGTCGTGAAGTCCGTACCTGATCTTGTCGACGCAGACACGTGGGGTACGTGGAGCACTTGGAGCTTCTCATACAGTCGTGGAAAGCCCGGTAGGAGCGTCTCACTCTGAAATGAGAACAATTGACTTATACTCAAGACGCTGCCATGATCTGGAGGCATTATTTACTGATGCTCCCATACATCAGATTGTATAAATTTATTCTCGGCTTTTCGATTTGCTCACAGATGTTTCCGCCTCTTGTTCAATATGTGCTATCTCCCTGATCGCTCTAGCAGGCATTACGCTATGATTCTGCTGCTCGATTGGTATGCGCGCCCGGTGCTCGCGTTTTTGTACTCCGTATTATCTACCGCACTAAGATGTTTGCTAGTAGGATCTTTTTAACGCCGTACTGGGTACTAGACTACAGCACAACTAGCAGCAATGTACTCTCTATAAGCTGCATGCATTTTGCTCTGTCCGTGACGGTAGTGATTCCGATAAACATGTTGGTGGCAACAGTGATGGCCAACTTGCACTGGATACGCTGAGTGTGATGTCATTGATGCGACAAGCAATTTTTTGATGCTACTATGAATAATGTCAACGATAGAGGCAGTTGGCATGAGCGTATTCAGCCCTTTGTTCGTTTAATTGGTTTTCGTTGTTGATCCAATAGACACAAGACGAGGTGTTACCTGATCGGTCGCGAAGGCCACGAAATCTGCCTCTTCATACGTCATCGCTTTGTGGGAGGCCTCGCTTGTGTTGAGACCCTGCTCAATAGACTCGACTCAGTGTGGATCCGCTTCGTGAACCCTTCGCTGTGACGTGATATTGGACTGTACAAGCCTGGCGCCGGCAACCTCAGCTCAAGCTCATGATTGCACACCTTAACCAAAATGCTGCCCGATCTTACGGTTATCTCACGACATTTGGGCATTCGTTTGTCAGTCTATGCTTTGCCATACAGTCAGTACAGAGACCCACGTCCTTGAACGTTTTGAAGGAAGTTCACATAGAATGTAACGAAGACCTGGATCAAAAGAAGTACAACTGGAGAAGATGGTACATTGACTACCTCTCTATAGGTAGAAACTATCATTTCTACGTTCCCCATTGATTTCTCAGGTGTACTAGCATGTCCGTAGCAATTGTATCACCCCTTTTATACCGATATCCTATGCGAACACACTGGTAGTAAAGCTGAGCAGTATTATACTAGTATGCAGTGATCCTTATGTCCCTGCAGGTGCCTTCATTTTACATCTGGTAGAGTTATTGCCAGTAGGCTCCGATCTCTCTAACATCGTCAATAAATTGTGGGGGGTTGTCGGTGGCAGGGAAATGGCCTCCAAACTCGTGGTCTAAAGACATTATTAGAGTGATCTTACACAGATGTCCAATAACTTACTCCGGTAAAGTACAAGATTTCCGACCCTTTCAGCATACTGGCGTGGCCAGAAGATAGTGTTGTACTTGAAAATACTAACAAGCATAGGGGCATCGGTCCTAGCTTTGGTGTAATCGACAGAAAAACCGCCAAAATTCTGTGTGTATGCAAACACAGTGGACACAAAGGTTTTGGTGAGATGTAGGAACGACACGGTCTTCAGAATATCGTTATCGTCAAGCAACGAAGGAGGAGTGCCCCTTCGCGGATCAGCCCCTAGAAGGAAGGATTATTGTCTGACGAGAGGCTTCTTTAGGTTTGTAACTAACATTGAGTGTCGATCTTCCCTGCGATCCACGATAGAATGCCGACTGGATTGTCGTAGAGTGCCAGACCAATAGCATTAGGCTACAGAAATATCAGTCATGGAACAAACGCGCTTCTGACGTAAGCTCTGATCCGCCATACCTCTGTCTGTTGCTGTCGTGAATACGCGTCCTGCGAAGCGAAGTATTGGAGGCTTCTCTGCGCTTCAAACTCTTCCAACGGCGACAGCGTAATGTTCGCCGCCGCAATATCAGCAGGCAGAGGTGGAATAAAAGGCAGGAAGGAGAAATGCGCAGCTCGCGTGGTCTTGTTATACTGGTCGTACAAAGCGTAGGCAACAGGGGAAGCGAGATCAGTTCCGTGGACGGCAAACTTTTCGTAGCCAAGGACTTCAGTCATCAACGTGTGAAAGACGCGAGCTGTATCATCACTGGTCCAATTCGCCGGAGGGCGACTAGAGAAGCCAAAGCCAGGCAGATGCGGAACGACGATGTCGAAAGCAACGTCGGATCCATTGGAAGTTTTGGCTGGCTTGGTTAGTTCTTTGATGACCGGCTCGAACTCTAGGAATGAGCTTGGCCAGCCGTGGTGCAAAACCAGGGGAGTTGCGTTCGGTTCAGTTGATTTCTCGTGGACGTAATGGATGGTAAGACCTTCGATAATAACGGTGAAGTGCTTCAGGCTATTGCTTTGTAAGAGGAGGATCTTGCTAGCTAATAGAATGAGATTGGACAAGAATGGTTACTGACTCATTCATGGTCGTCTGCTCCTTATTCCAGTCAAATTCGTTCAGCCATTGTTCTTGCAAGCCCTTCAGGAAATCCAAGTCCGTTCCAAACGTGGAGCCTAGACCCGGGTACTGAGGCTCATCGGGAAGCTGGGTATTGTTGACCAATGAGAGCATTCGTGGGACGTCACTCGAAAGATCAATCTTGAGAGGCCGGACAACGTATTCCGCAGCTAGAGTGTCAGCTGCCAACAAGCTTAAAATGAAAACAAGGGCCCTTTGGTTAGACATTTTTGTTGTTTGTATATAGAGACGAGAGCGTTGGAGTAGAAAATGTGTCTGCTCCAGTCACGTTTATATACATTCAATCGAGGAGTGTTACAAATCCTTCACTGCGCATTGACTAGACAGCATCAGCAGCTACTCAGGCCGCCAAGAAGGGATCGATTTGTAAGCGCTCAAGTGATTTTATCCCATCCATCACGCAACACTATACTCATTTCCGTAGGGATTCAACAGTATGGCCGAACGCTGCTAGGGTACAGTTGCGGATGGTAACGCCAAGGCAAGCAGTGTTGCCCTGCAAACACGAGACAGGCTAGTCCCAACATGATAGCACCTGACGTGAGTAATGTATATGGTTCACAGCTGTGGCTCCGTCTCGAACGTGTACTATGCAGATGATGCTTAAGATAGGTAATAGCAAGGTATTCTCTACATTTTTGCATGAACAAAGTGGAATCAGAGAAACCCGTAACTGTCACATCTATTCACGTAGCCTTGCTAACACTGCGTTCATGCAGTAAGCGTGACGTGTGTAGAGCCTTCCTGTACAACTAGGAATGCGCCCAATTTGTTAACCGTAGATTGGAACTGCTACATCTTCTGGACCCAGTTCTTGTCGGGCACATCTTAGCCATGTAAATCTTAGTAAATCAAACGCATGGTAATGCTTCAACGATTGCGGACATCATCAACACGCTTGCTGCAAGTATGGTAGCGCCAAGGATATAACAGTGCAGTGATTCTACTTTTACTTACAAAGCACTTGTAGACATGCGACTTCGTAAGCAGAACACGGAAGCTGGAACATCCGCTCAACTAGCACTGAAAGTAAAGCTTTATAAGCACCTTACCACACTATGGTCAATCTGCTTTGCAAGCCGCCGTGAGTCCGGGCTTTCTTCGGTAATATTACCAATCTTGTCGAACAGTAACGTCTCCCAAGGCTTCATCTGTATCAGCTCCAAGCACGTGGATGCAATAGACAACTTGCAAAGGACCTGCTCACAATCATTGAATGATACTACAGTACTCTCGTATCAAATCATGGTTCCAATCGGCGTGGGCGTTATCGGGCTCAGCTCCCTCACCACGAGCATTCCAGCCACTGCAGGCGATGGATGGGCAGCAAGGTTTGTATTGCACCTTCCCTTGGGTGGATTATCATACTAACGAAGACGAAAGTGCTCATCTGCCGTACCTGCTAGCGTCACCCCTCTACGAAATTGTGGCACTCTGCAACTCAAGCATCGCATCAGCTGCAAAGGCCGTTGAACGATACAGGCTTCCTCCTGATACCAAGACCTATGGAAACCCTCAAGATCTCGCAGACGATCCAAGTGTTCAGCTTGTAGTATGCTGCGTTCGAGTTGATAAGCATTATGAGCTCATGATGCCAGTGCTCAGGGCCGGCAAAGATGCATACATCGAATGGCCCCTTGGTTCGAATCTACAACAAGCCGAAGAAATGCTAGCGACTGCTAAGAAGAGTGGTAGCAGGACAATTGTTGGCCTTCAAAGCCGATACAGTCCTGCAACGCAAAAGATTAAACAACTTATCGCGGAGAACGCCATCGGAAAGCTGCTCAGCTCTAGCCTTTCCTACGACGTCGAAGCCATTGGGGACACTGATTTGCCAGGGGTAGACTATATGAGCAAGAAGGCCGCTGGAGGAAACATGTTTACCATCATGTTCGCCCACTGCGCTGACGCCATGTTCTCTGCACTAGGAGGTCCAGAAGAGCTTTCTGCAATACTGTCCACCCAATGGCCTGAGGTGAGATATCTGAATGCGGATGGCTCATTCAATCGTATGATCGAACGCGAAACTCCGGACCACGTTCTGCTTCAAGCTACTCTAAAGGCCTCGAATGTTCCAGTCTCGATAGCGGTTCGCGGCGGAAAACCTTTCAAGAATGCTCCTGCCTTGATGTGGCGCATCTTCGGTACGAAAGGCGAGATCCACCTCACATCTCCAACTCTCGTTTCCCTTGAATTTGGTAACAAGCTTGAGCTCTATAATTATCAGAGGGATACGGTGGAGGCTATCGTTCTGCAGCATCCGAGCAACCTGGCCTCTTTGGCACCCACAGCAAAAAACATTGGTGCATTGTATGAGTCGTTTGCTGTAGGAAAAGATGTTGTTGGTTTTGATGAGGCCGTTGTACTACACAAGCTGATTGAGAAGATTGAGAGAAGTAACGAAGATAGAAGCAGGACGCTTTGAAGAATGATGCATCAACAGCCTAGCGCGATTGATACGTAACAATTAAGTCAATAACGAAATCAAGTAACAGTGTTTTGAGTGAAACGTGTGTATGAAAGCATAGGTGTAGATTCCACAAGATTTCGAAAGACAGAAATGGCTGCCTGGGTGGCATTTCTCCTTTTCCCTGCGTGAGCGGTAAACCTGATGCAGTAGTGTCTAACACTCGAGGTTAATCCGCTAGTATTTGGCTACTCAAGAGATGCCGTTCGTAGGTGACAGGTAGTGTAATCGCGATATTGGGACATTAGCGGTCTTCAGTGAAAGTCTCATCAAGCCGGAGCAAAAGATAGCGATCTATGAGCGCAAGGTTCTGATCAAAGCGGGAAGTACATCCATCAAGGATCGCTGCACATGCTTTCCTGCAGACCACTCTTGCTGAACCCTGCGGAGATAGGATGTGCTGACTAAAAGTCGTGCTGCTAAATTGTTGTTATCGCTCCGATCAGATGGCTTTTTGAGCACCTTTCTCAGCACAAAGAGCAGCAAGCATCCGTCGCTGATCAGGGCGTCACGTACAGATTGTAGCAAGGCGGGAAGCGCTCGTGCCAAGACGGAAGTCACACGTTCCGGTTTGGATTGATGACCAATACTAGTAGATAATAGACCCATCATTCCAGCAACACACCCTGACCAGGTTGTGAAATGAGGAGCTTTGACTGGTCACAACGAATCAAAGACTCAGCCGAATTTCGTGGACCGTTGCATTGTCGATCGACAGCTAAAGTCCGCGTCGCATTGTTAAGCTGGCCATCTTGCCAACTCCAAAGAGGCGCCGAACACCACCGAAACCATGAAAACGCACTATAAGAAGATCGTCTGAGCAAACCGAAAAGAAAAAGCATTCAGCATACAGTTCTTTGTACATCCAACAACGATTCTACTCGAAATGGCTTCTTACCTCATCACTGGCTCGTCTAGGGGAATTGGTCTTGGTTATGTTACAGTCTTGGCCCGCAAAGACGTGTCAGAAGTCAGCAAAATATTTGCTGCTGCTCGCTCAGAGAGCGCCGCACTGAAGGAATTGATCGCTGAATCTGCTGGACGCGTCGAATTTGTCCCGCTTGAGGTGACATCAGAGGAAAGTGCTAAGGATGCAGCCAAGCAAGTTGAGCGTTCTCTGGGTGGTAAAGGCCTGGATGTTCTTATCAACAACGCTGGTATTCCAAGCCACACCGACGGTGGCATTCAAAACATGTGCGTCATTGAGGACAGATTGCCAACGTCGTATGTACTGACAACTTACTAGGACGGATCTCACACAAGTGTTGAATGTCAACGTGTTTGGAGTTCACAACGTCACCAGAGCCTTCTTACCGCTGCTCAAGAAGGGTCAGCTCAAGAAGATTGCAAACATGTGTTTTCCCCCGCATACGACACTATAAAATTGCGCTAACATCATCAGTTCTTCGAGCCTCGGCTCCATGGCCTTGTCTGCTATGGGCAAGTTTCAGCCAACTCCTGCGTACAAGGTGTCTAAAGCTGCAGTAAATATGCTCACCGTACAATGGGCGGAGTCGCTTGAGAGCAATAGCTTTGTGGTGCTTGCTATATGCCCCGGCGTAAGTGCCCTGATTCGTCTCTCATACCCGACATCCTCACTTACACTGATTGAATAGTGGGCGAAGACAGACATGGGCACAGATGCAGGCCATTTGACTGCTGAAGAGAGTGCAACTGGTGGCCTCAATGTTCTCCTTACCCGCACTGTAGCAGATAGCGGCAAATTCTTTGTCGTTGATCTCCCTGGCAAGAAGATTGATGGGCAGGAGATCTACAATGGATCTGTTCGCCCATATTAGAGTTAGTAACATAGCGTAAATTGAGCTAAATCCAGAAGTCATCTTTATCTGCGTTCTTTTAGCTGACCGGTATCGCGTGGATCTTCCAAAAAGTCCCAACGCTTTCAACTGCTACTCGGGTCGTCATAGAGCCGATGAAGGAAACAGGTTGGCACTACATCCTCCCGTTTCTCGTCTTTGTGCAGGAGACCCTCAAGCTTTTGTGCCTGCCTTGCGAACCTAAACAGTGACCATACTGCGCAGAGGTTCCATACTAACATTCGTGTCTCGATATGATATTGTTCGGGCATGTTCAGACCAGGTAAGGTAACCAAGAGGATTGGTGTTGCTGACCATCTTCTTAGCATATACTTGTGGACGGCAGGCCAGTCAAATGCGGTCCTCGATCCTCACATTACGAGTCTTTCTCACCACAAGGATCTACGCTACTTCGGTAACCTTCGACAGACCTAGCAAGTAACGCGTAGGCCTCGGAAAGCGCTCCCAGGCTTCCTATCAAATCCCAGAGAGCAAAAGCTAATGGCGCCGCTTTCGGTACAATCGCTGAGGAGAGTATAATCGACTGCAGACATAACTTACATAAATCGACCACTAGATATTTGGGTCCCTATCTATTGCTGAGAGTCTTAAAGACAGTATTTCCTGTGCAAAGGACATGGCTTGATGAAGATAGATAAGCTGCATACTTATGAACTTGTGGGGTAGTGAGATACGCGGACCAGGCTTGATTCTTCGGTATACAAAAGAGAGGAGATACTTCTACAGGCTATTGTATGCTCTAATCGTCTCTTTCTTAAGCTTTACCATAATCATGCATTCGTGGCTAATTGATTGCCTGCTTATGGTATTAGAAAAAGTGTCACCACAGTGTCATCTCATCGCTCTGAATACAATACTCTTTGTTGGAGACTCAACCTGGCACTTCATTTCTGTAATCTGCTGGTTCACCCACTATTCAACCGCGGTTGACGATATCGAATTCCTATTCGTGTCACACGCCATGGTGTTTTCAGACAACACGTTCGTCACGGGTAATCCGGATTGTTATTCTCAGCACACCCAACTCTTGCATTGTGGAGACGCAGCTTCAGGTCATCCAAGGATTAGTATTCAAGCACCTGGATTTGAGCTATCCAGTAGTTCCGATGACGGTCTCGCAAGCCTGGCCTCCAAGGGTCAACCGATGGGTACCAATACAACATCACGGTGCCAGTAGCCTCCAACTTCCTTCTGAATGCGGGAACAGGACATTTAATTTGGGAGTAGGCAATGTCACTCAGTGGTCTCTTCCCAGTCGCCAGATCTCAGGCACGCTAAGCGTCGGCGACACATTGCACACGACACACACGATCCTTGAAAAGCGCTCTATGACATGATGTGATCGCCGAAATGGCGGTGGCGCAGTCGGTAGCGAGTTCCCCTGATTTGGAATTCATTTCTCAGGTTCAGAGTTCAAAGCCAGCATTTGGTACCCGGACAACGAGGTTTCGGAACAGCGTTTTCGATCCGCAACTCGATATAGAGACCACAGCGTCTCCACTATCCGATTCAACGCCACTCTGATACACTGTAGCTACTTCAGAGCAATTCCAATCCAAGGGTCAATCTATGCTTCGTAATCGTGAGGCTCCACGGTTCAGTCTCGTTCATTCACTATGTAATAGTCTTGCACGAGTGCGATGCCATCACGCGTATGACTACCGGAACACCACACGCGCCTCGGCTCTACAGGTCTTCAGAGACCAGACATTCCACGCGCAAGCGAGCACGATTGGAATCATGAGAAGCCAGAGTTCGGTAATATTGTGGCTCACCGACACAATGCTAGGGTTGAAAAAGAGCTGCTACGTGATTCTACAAACTCTGGCAGACCTCTCAAGGTTACCAATCGACAACTCCGATAGCTACTTGATGCTGACCAAGAGAGCCGGTGGTAACCTCTAAGCGAGCAGCTAGCAGACGCAGTGGGAGCAGAGACGGGGGCGGGGGTGGGGGCGGGAGTGAGAGTGAGAGTGGGTATGGAAACGGGAGATTCTGTATCCCACGCCGAGATGATCTAGGACAAGATTGGCACTGTTATAGAGCAAGGACAGGGGACAACAAAGGACGATCAGCCCTTTCACACAGCCGTCAACAGTCTCAATTGCCAGGAACCCAACACATGTCACGCAAGTATTCCAGAACTGGACAATGCCGTGGTATGAGTAACAAATTTTGTGACTTGAGAACCCTGACAAGGAAGTTCGGATGGTTCGGGTAGAGGCTGTATCGTCTATGTTCAATAGCATGACGAAGAACAGGACGTCTTGGTTCAGCGCATCGCGTATCCCTGCGCATGCCGGTGTGCACAACACTTGGATACTCCTGAGGAGCGCTTAAGATTGTCATCGGCCGGAAGTAGATTGCAGGCTTAGACATTCTTGTGGGTTGGCTCCGCGTGTCCCTGTGCTTGAAGTGGCTCTTCAGCTTTTCACCTTGATTGCGATCTTACTGACATGCCATGTCGCTGATATGTCGATTTTGCGACACGGCGGGGCGGAGCAGGCAAGGACGGAGGCAGACCTGAAATGGCGACACAGGGCGGCGGGGAGAAGGAGCGCACGGAAATAGCTTAGTGCGGGGCCATGCTCTTACCAACAAGAGTTGTAGCTGGTCTGAGACACAATAATGATTTGTACCTGAACATGGACCCTGCGAGAACGGCGTGGGTTGTGAGATGGAAGGTTTGCACCGGCCAAGGGTTGTAGCTGGTGTGAGACACGAACTGCGGCCATGCATAGATTTGCAGAAACGCCCTGGGCTGCGGCCAGTGGGTGTCTTGGATCAGCTACAATTCTTGCTCGGCCTGGGGCACACACCTATACTCACTACACGTGAACAGCACGGGAAGGCACAACATAGGCAAAGTGAACATTTGTTCCACGAACCAAGAGTTGTAGCTGGCCTGAGACATGCATGTGCAAAATCGCTCTGGGTCGTTAGGTGTCTCATACCGACTACAATTCTTGTTTGGTCCACTACCAACTGCACGTAAGGTGCATGGAAAGGCGTAACGCAGGCGGAAAGGACATGTCTCACACCAACCAAGAGTTGTAGTTGGTCCAAGACACGTAACGTGAGAGCGGCGCAAAGCGTGACAATTGGCATCGGGTCAACGCGTGCTGCGGGCTCGGGCCGTTCCGAAGCCTTGCCTCTTGCCAAGCAACCCCACCAACTTCGTCGCGACTCGTCGCACTGGAGGCGCTTGTATGCTGAGGTTACAGTCGCGCAGCTGGTAGTGGAAGCAGGCACGCCACCTCAACGCGCCTGCTTCCACTACTCGTAGTCGTCGTGACTTCCCCGGCCGAGCCCTGCCGCCCGCGCGCACCCGACGCCGTCGCAAACAAAGCCGCCGCCACAACGGACCGAGCAAGCTCGAGACGAGGAGCTCTAGTAGCGGTGTGGAGAATACTGCGCGGGCGAGAAGACAGAGAAGCGGCAGGAGCGAAGGAGGACAATACGAGAGCTAGAAGGTAGGGAAGCGGCAGGAGCGAAGGAGAACAAAGGGCAAGGCAGGCGGTCTGTAGAAGGAACAACAAGAGATACACGTAACTGCCACGCTTTCACATTCATCTCGTTCTGTGAATCTTATGTCCCTGCGACTCGTCCCGTGAGCACAAGTATGGGGCTGACCAGAATGCGCGCTCGCCCTGCGGCAGCTGTGTCCAGAAGGCGCTGGCATCGAGGCTGCTTTTACGTGACCGCGTTTTTGTGCTCGTTCTCTTCAGCGTCATTCCAGCCCTCCCAGCCTGATTTGTCGATTAACTGGCCTGCACAGATTCATGACATTGACGACGAGCCGTTGCATCGCCATTACCGGGGTGGCTATCATCCTATGCATCTGGGACACTGCGTAAATAGTGACAGGTACAAGATTCTGCACAAGCCGAGCTGAGTTGGACGCTCGACTGTTGGGGCTGCGCGTGATGTTTGGTGCTGCTTTCTGAGCACGTTGATTCCATGCAAGCTGACATTTTCTCGGAAAGGGAAGGTATGTTACTATTAAAATTTCAGTATCCGAGCCAAGCTATCAGAGCTAAGAGATGTCCGTCGTCGTGATATATCGGACGTGCTATAGCGGCGGCACGTCCAATATCTGTTGATGATGCGAGATAACCTGTCGACCACCGGTCCAAATGGAACCCACAACTACCTTGTGCTGGAAATTACGGGGCCACATGTCGCTAACTTCCTTGACTTCCATCCCAGTACGAGGTATATGAAGGCTTCATGAAATGCCCGCAACATCTATGGCGATCCAGACTCCGCTTGGTGTGTTCCCTCCACGAGCAGCATATTCAGGTACATTCTGGCCCCTCAGTACTCATACTGTCTTTGCTTGCGATTAGTAGATCTCCATCCCAAACTAGCCCTTACAATCTCTTCGGTACATGCCTTGCAAGAAGATCTGCTTCATAAGCTGGGATCGCACGAGACAGGAGCTGTCTTAATAAGCGATCGCCAGCCACTGGAACCTATTATACCAGATTCCTCGTCAACACCACGTCCTATCCAGCCCATATCAGGTCCTCGTTTGGATCGATCAAGACCGCCGACCTCGACCAGTCTTTCCCGGGCTCGCCAGCTCTCATACTACTTGCACTGCACTTCTTCACCACGCTCCTCCAGCCATCTCTAGAGATGATTTAGGTCACCACGTAGGTATCTAGAGCATAGGCTGCGTAGTACGTCCAGCCTAATCAGGGAAAATGCGAGATTGATCTTGGATAGCTGATCAAGCTTGTTGTTGGACAACTACTGCTCGATAGCTTGGAGCTAGGGCCTACGATTGGTGCGCGATAAATGCTCGATACAGTTGGCGACATTTTGCCGACTTTCAGCAAGATGAGTGGCTTGTTGTGAATGAACAGTGTCCAGTGAGAGTTCCACTTGTCCCCTCCGAAGGTACTAAGTACGTACTTCGACGGGGAGAGGAACGAGGATATGAGTCAGATATCGAACGGTTGTAGTGCCGAACGATGGAGCCTTCCGCCACGGCACTACCAAAGGCTTCTCTCGAGATTCTTGGCCCTGGATAGATTGATGCAAACGACACAGTAATATGATTCCTCCTTCTATAACGTCGGAATGACGCCGTCAACAAGGGCCCATGCCGTCTCTACGCTGATAGCATTCTAGAAGGTTTGCACCCCATGGAACACTCTTCCCGCGTCCATTCCAGTACGCAAAGCCGCGCCACCTACCCGAATTCATAGTGAATTTTGTTTGGCTCAATCTCACTAGGTTAGCTTCTCATCCCTCTGACTCCACTTGGAGAGCGGCTTAAGCTTTGTCCCTTGTGTTGTTACTCTGCTATACGCTCGAATCCAACGCATAAACTTCGAGAGAAGGAGAGCCTCAACATAGACAGCCTTGTGGATCTGTGCGGTGATTCCTCACGCTGCACTCATCTTGTTCTAGTCGCTGAAATTCCCGACTTCGGCCTGACTTACATGATGGGGGTACGATGATGCCAAGGCTGACCTGACAGGTCGTGAGACTGAAGTCCCGAGTGATTCTGCGCGGAGCCAAAGCTGCATGTGCACATGTGGTGTTTTCGAATGTGTAAGATTGATCTAAGCAGAGAGCTTGTATCATAAGAACGATTTAGAATTATCTTGTTGAAGATGAGAGCCACGAGCTGTCCTCTGCGGAATCAATACGCACTGCAGACGAGCAGCATGACACGTTTGATACGAAGCCACACAGTAAACGTTGCGATCATATGGGGGTGATAAGTTTCATGCACGAATTGTCTCTGCGTTCCATCAACACTGGTTGCACCAACCTGGGAGATTCAGAACGCCGATAAATCTTCCTGAGAGTGTAGGAGGCACCCAAGCCTCACCCCATGAGCTTTCAATCCCCGCAAACGGTTCAGCATCTCCTGGACATCCATTACCCGCACGAAAGCCAACCATTCCCTCTTCCTACTCCTCGCCCTTCGCCCCCACCGACACACCCCTCGACTCTGCCCTGATCCAGTATCCTATGATGTGCTATTCCGAACCTACAAATAGTCCTGTCGTGTACATTTGTGAACAAATGAAGCGCAGGAGACCAAAAGGTTGTCGGAGCATTTCGGCGGGGGCTACGGAGAGCGAATGAAACAAGCATGGAGGCAGTGGCCTCGTTGATCCAAATTAAGAACCACATCAATACTCTATTCTATGTAAGGGACCATCTCATCGTACCGCCCCTGTTCTGTCAACATTTCCTCAAGGCTTTCCATGCATTTCTGCGTCCTGGGATCCTCCAGCCCAAGTACCCTCATGTTGAGTGCTATTGTTTCCCTGTACAGCTCTTCCGCCTCGTGGTACCTGCCTCGAAGATGCAGTAGATATGCTAAGTTTTGCATACTCGTTAATGTTTCAGGATGCTTCAGCCCTAGCGCCCTCTTCCTCAGTGCCATCGTTTCTTTGTATAGCTCTTCCGCCTCTTTGTACAAGCCTTGATCTTGGAGTAAAACCGCCAAGTTGTTCGTTGTTACCAGGGTATCAGGATGTTCAGGCCCAAGCACCTTCTTCTTTAGCGCTATCGTCTCTCGGTATAATTCTTCTGCTTCAATATCCTTGCCTTGGCTGTCTAGTACATCCGCTAAACTAGACATACTTGACAACGTATTAGCATGTTCAAGCCCAAGTATTGCTTTCTCTGTTGCCAGCGTCTCTCTGTGCATCGCTTCCGCCTCCGTCAGCCTGCCTATCTGCTCCATGAAATCCGCAAGGGCCGAGATACTGTTAAGCGTTCTAATGTCCTCTGGCCCAAGCATCTCCGCTCCTATTTCTACCGCCTGTCGAAGCACTGCCTCTCCTTCTTCGTTTTGTCCCTGTTGTGTCAGCACCCACCCAAGGTTGAAAAGGCAGGCGACCTTCATTCCATACTGATGAGCGAGCCAATTCCTGCCTGGGATTATGTGTCGCAACACTTCCTCGGCCTTCGCATACCTTCCTTGGTGCCCCAGCACTTCACTGAACAGAATCAAGGCATCTAGTATCTCCGTGTTCTTGCCACTACCACCACTCGGGCTTTGCTGACTGTCGATCAGTTTATGGGCCACATCCTCTGCAGCCTTATACCGCCCTTGGGCAAGAAGAACGTATCCCAAGTCGAACAGCGTGTCCAGTATTTCCGAAGGATCGCATAGGAACATTAGTTCCGCCACGAAAAGGGTATCTCGAAGGCGCTCTTCCTCATCCTGTTTGTATCTAGATTGTATTTCGACATGAACGGTGCTTCCGCAGGCGTTCGAGTCATGGAAGAGGCTGATTTGGAGGCTCGGAGGTGATCGATGTGTGAGTGTGGGGCTTTGCCCATCGAATCCACTGGATCGACTTCGGACGATGCTCGAGACTGACAAGGTAGGCAACGACATCCGCGGAGTCTGCGACCGGTCGTATCTGTCTGTCAGAGACCAAATCGAAGCGGCTGCCGAGCGCACAGAAATGACGGACATGGCAGGCGAGCCTGGCATGGAGATCGTACGGCATCCCACATCCGGCGGCGTGGCTACGCAGTTCAGCAAGAAGACACACGACCGTGTCGTACTGACTTACATGCTGCCGGAATGGGCTCGTATAGCAAGCTGTCTGGGACCTTGTGTCGCTTCATCCACCGCTCAACTTTGTGCGGATCTACCTGGCTGCCTCGAACCTCGAAAGCCAGCGGGCTCTTGTGTTTGTCGACAAGCTTCCGCCGCTGTCGCTTCCGCACAATCGCTTGCATCTCCTGCAGCTTGACGTTCTTGTCCTTGCCCCACAGACTAATGCGCGATCGGTACTGTCGAAGCCTGCAAACGCGTCTGTTAGCACCGCAGATAACTTGGATCGCCTTGCCCGAGCAAAGGATACATACTCGGCTTTGAAGCCGTACTCCTCCTCCATCATCTGCCTCACTTTGGGCAAAGGTATCTTCTGCACGACGTGCAAGTCGAGGATGCGCTCTTTGTAAGGCTCCCAGTCCTCCTCACGCAAAGTTGCTGCTTTGCGCTTTCGAGGCCGGGCTGGATCACCAACAGGCATCACATCGAGAAGCACGTGACCAGGCTGTGATATGGAAGTCCGAGTGAATGGCTGTAGATCGCGGTGTTGGTATTCCGTCATCGCGAGCTGCTCCCCCGTGAGTCCTGCCTGCCAAATAGGGCCTAAGCTCTGATCAAACCCGTACGATGCAGCATGTTGCTGCGCGGTAGCGTTGTTGTGTCCAGCATGCGGAAGGCTGAGCCCGGACTGGTAGGCTATTACTAGGTCCGGCGGCGGGAGCTCCATCTCCGTGAGAACAAGTTAAAAAGCACAGGAGAAGACGGTAGACGTAGAGTGAAGCATGCGCAGTGAAAAACGCCTATCCATGATGAAGGTGGGATTCGGTGGCATCTTATGCTCCGTGTTGCGCGCAGTCGTGAGGCTGAGGCGTCACACGTCACCGCACGCTAATTGGGTAGAGCTCAAAACTACAATCATGCGGAACGCGCTAGTAGTGGTGCTAACATGCAGCTTGGCGCTGGCGGGGCGCTTATCGATTGGAAAGTCGCCCCACCCGCCTATGCAAAACTACAATCCGAACCCCTGACACATGCTCATTGGCCCGCGGGCAAAACTACCTTCGCTTCTGCATTGTACTTTTGCAGTACAACGAATCAGAAGGAAGCATCGTAATGGATTGTAGTTTTGCTGATTGTATCCGCAGTCATTCATGGTTCAATGTTGTGTCTTGTTGACAACAAAGCAAAACGACACAGCTGGTGCTGAGGCAATGTTCTTCGCCCTTTCTTCATTGTGTAGCCATTCAAGCATGTATAAACCCAGGACTTTCCATTCGGCTGATTGTTCAACTACATGGCGCACAGGGACAACGGACTTTCATTTCCCTATAAACACGACACCCAGGCTTCTCTGCGCTGCTTCATCTGTTGTCAGACGCGGTCATGGATTCTTCCCTTTCGCCTTACTTTGATTCAAACTACATTGCTCGACGGAGTAGAAGCGATCAAGGAGCCGGCAATACCGAAAGCAAGTACCAAAAGGTCTCAACATCTTGCCTTGGCCCGCACTAACACCTGATTCCCAGTCTTGATACCAACCAGTCTTGGAAACTTTACCATGTCTGAATGGCAGCCTGGGTCGTTGAACGACGAGAGCAGTACAAGAAGTATGCCAAACATCTTATTGCAGTGATGATGCAGTCTGGCTAAAATATACGTAGCACATGCAGGGACTGGCGCCAGCGACATTCTAGCGCACACGAGTCTGAATACCCTTGTGTGGCAAGATGCGCAGATAGACCACGATCATTACTCTGGCTTTGAAATGTGTCTCGATGACCGATCGTGGCTGGCAAGTATCGATGTCAGCATGGATCCAGTCGTCCCCGACCTTTTTTCATCACCATACGATGTATATGCGACGGAAAGTGCCACAGTTTTGTCCGATAGGACAATGAACGACCATCATCCAAAGTAAGCGCCACTGAAGACTACATCCTGTTTACTGACTGACCTACCACAGCCACATGAACCCCGCCCCAGTGCCCTTCCAACCCGGTCTTGTACCGATGCAAACCACGCCATCTTCCAATATCGCAACCGCACCTGCCACACAGGATCTCTTCCGTCCCTGCTACGCCGAAGAGATCCCGCACGCAGACTCCGGACCAAAGAAAATTCGCAGCCCGACAAGTGCAACACCCGATCCCGAAGATGCTGTTACAAAAGTCGGCTTTCTACTCAACAATGGCAGGTTGATGTGCGCCATTGAGGGATGCGAGCAGCGGACCTTCGCTCGTCCGGCCGAACTTAGACGACACCATACCACCCTCCACGCCACCCATAAACCGGACTTCTGGTGCCCGGTTTCAACGTGTCGTCGTAGTGTGGCTGGAAGTCGCGAGGCATTTCATCGGAAGGATAAGTTGGCAGCTCATGTGCTGAGCATGCATGCTGCACGGTAAGAGTGGGTGTTCTGGATGATTTCTGACACTGGGAGGAGCTAATAGAGGTAGCGGTTTGGAGCTGTTCTGGGGTAAAAAGAGTAAGGTCGAGTAATCTGGGCATTGTTGTTTCGTACCAGCTAGTCGTTGTTTGTCCGCAGAAAGGATCGAACAATCCCGGAACTCACTAGCCAGGCTGTTCGGGTCGGTAGCCAGAGACCCCAGTCGTCATTAGGAACTGGCTAGGGAGAGTCATATTCATCATCTGTCGTTGGAGAATCTCGTGGGGTCGCCTCCTGTTGCGGATATGATGCGTCGGATTCACTTCGTTTAGCTCGTCGGCTCGTTCTGACTTGCCTTCCCTCCACAGAATATCTGCAGCATATTGTAAGCCATCAAATCCCCTAAAATTGGCCTTGCGTACCTTCCAGAAATGTCTCATCAGGCTCTGATTCTGTCAGTATTTACAAGCTTTCGACTATCTCAGCTCGCTCGTGGTAGTCTCTTACCTTGTAGAAGGGAAGAGATTCCTTGAATGTTCTGAAGCTCTCCAAGTCCGTCTTCGAGGACGCTGAGTTTCTCAGTGTTGGCCGCCCGCTCTTTTGCAATCTCTCCCCTTTCGGATGCCAAGGCAGCCACCGTTGCATCATCAAGATCAACCACATCTGCTGGTGAAAACAAGAACGGAAGTCTTTGGACGACTAGGGCTTCGACAGCAAGCACACTGACGTCGTCGATGATCTTTTTCATTGCGACCTTTTGTAGTTAGACGAGCACAAATCGAGCAAGAATTCCATACGTACCTTGTAGAAAGCCTCCATGAAATCCGTTGCGGTAGAGCTGGCATAAATGTTCATGTCGGCTTCTGTTTTCGAAACGAGCGTATTAATGAGTGTGTCCACATTGAGTGTGATCTTGACGGCCCCAAGGGTGCTGTAGTCTCCGCCAAGGACTCCCTCCAAAGACTTCTTGATTTCTTTTGCTCGACGCCGACTTTGTGCCTTCTGGACGTTGTCGGTAAGATAGTGGTTGTATGTAATGGGGTGACCAGTATGATAAGGCTTGAGAAGCTCCGCCACCTTTTCGCGGAGTGCTGCGGTCATCTTCTCCAAGCGAGAGTGGATGAACCTTCTTGATATTCCTCCCAGAGTTGATTGGTCACAGACATGCGCAAGAGCTGCAGATACCAGAAACCGAACTGCAAGAAGGATGGTCTCCAGATATCGATCAACCAAGTTCGCCCACGGTTTGCGCTGTTCATGAAACAGTTGCCCAACGATAAGTGGATCGAATGTACCTGGCAGTTCTCGGCCTCTGCTTCGCTCTAGAAGTCTGGCGACCTTTCTCACATAGTCTGAACGAGAAATACGATGAGGTGGATCACTGGGACCTTCATCGATAATGGTTTGAGTATGTCCCTTCTTCCTCATATCTGCTGCAAAGTCGATTGAGGTGTTCTGAAGCACAGCTCGCAAGCGCTTCTGATAACCTTCAAGGGTGGAGGCATCGCCGAAAAAAAGATCTGAGTATTGTCCGTCAATTGCAGCCCTAACGAGCGTACAAAATGACTGACTGACATGCAAGAGATACCGTCGCTGCTGTTGCGCTGTGTCCCTCAAGTCACCTAGTGCGTGCAATGTACTTGTACAGTCATGTATCCCACCTTTGATCTGGCCAAACACATTTGGCAACTACGCCATGACATGATCCTTCAGAATTTGGCTGAGTCTTGTCTTTAGAGTATGGACGCCAGCTTGGTTAGGTGGAAGCGATCTCCAGATACCGGAATTGAAAAATGAAGCTTCAGTCTTGTCACGTTCCTCAGCTGACGAGTGCCTGGTGGTGTAGTCCCTGTTACGTAGCACGTGCCAGCCCAGTCGAAACTTGACGTCTTTGTTTTGTGCCAACTCAAGGTAAAACCGCTCGCTGTCAGAGCCCTCGTCGAGTGTGTCCGGTTTCGTGATCAGTCCCAGTGTACGCTCGCCTTTTGGGTCGATCTGACGTGCGTATCTCGTGATCGACTGATTATTGAAGTCGTTCTTGGCGGAAACAACAGCCAGAATGATACTGCGGGGGTTTTTCATGTATTCGAGTACAAGGGATTTGACGGTTTCGCTGTCTGCGTCCGATTGCGTCCGGCTGCCAGCTTGAAACAAGCCCGGTAAATCGACGAGTGTGAGATGCGGTTGATCCGGCCCTGATAGTTCCAAGCGCAAAATGTCAGAGCTAAAGACTTTACTACTGTCGTCGATTCCCATCACAGTCTTTGCTGACTCGATGATCTCCCCCAACTGCAAATCCTCGGCTGGGACGGAGACATTGAAGTTCCGCAATGCCTCCAAGTCATGCTCTGAACGATCTTCTTCAGCAGAACCGGGGACGATGCTAATCTTGATGGGCGCCTCTGGACCTCGTCGAAGAATCAATTCCGTTGCGAACCTAGTGCATAGATTGTCTTTGCTTGGGAACCGTATACCTGAAATTGCTTCAAGGACCGAGCTTTTGCCGGAAGATTGTTCCCCGCACACGACGATTTCAGGCAGATCGATATACCGACTGATCCCGTGCGATCGAAGGTTATCAACAATGTCTAATACGCTCTTTGTTTCATCAAATTGTAGAGACATGTTGGTGCAAGGAGAGCGAGCTTCGTGGGTTGGGATTAGGACGACGATTCGCCTTCAATGATTGACGTCAGAACGAGGAGTCGCGATCATAGTCATCGAAGACAAAGCGTTGTGAACAGTTTTGAGATACCTAGTATACCTATCTGGCACGTCGCACAATGATTACGATTATGCATTCCATTCCCGAATCGGCACTTCAGCAACGCCGAATGATTTCCTTTCTCTCTCCCGCATCTCAAGGCCTACCTACTATCATTCTTGCTGGAGTGGTATAAATCTATCCTCAAGAATAGGAATGCATGTATCACGTAGGGGCGACTTATGGGTACAAAGGATTGGAGCATTGGGCGAATAGTCACTGACATCGCCATCAGCCATGTATCGTGCTACCGTACTAACATGGGAGGAATGTATTGTGCTAGTACTACGATCATGCGTGTTGTACCACGGTAGCCAGTGAACAGTATCAGTGCTGTCCACGGGTGAGCCAAGAGCTAGAGTGGGGCGGATTGTCGCGATACAACATCAAAAGGATACAGTACCACGAAGCATCATATAGAAATGGACCGGTTGAATGATTTTCCAACTTGTGTCAAATCTTGGACTTGCACTATCTAAAACAAGTAATGAGCGATTTTGATGTAATTTGATTAGCTAAAGCATTCGTCATCTGAATTTGAAGTAATCAAGAATAGCGTAATTAGCACGCTGCTAGTCAAGGTCAACAATGAAGTTGTACTAGAGCTGGGACAACATTGTAGCGATGTTCAAAATTCTTTCCTTGCGCATCCCCCCATTTTGTTAATCCGGGATTGACAACAAGAGTTACAATACCATTTTCGCCGCCCTCATCAGCACTAGTAGATAGATTTCTCATCTCAGAACTGCTGAAGTTGTCTCCAATTTTCGGAAATGTGATTTGGAGCCGGGATCGTTGCAATGACATCCGCACCGCGAGATTGAAAGCTTCACTGACGATTCGGCACAAATGTGAAGAAGCAACTTTGGGGGCAATCAGAGAAAGATGGGCACTCATTGAGCTTACAACGTTAGCGTGTGCTTGCACAACACATTGCTCAAGATATGAATGGTGAGTTCTTCTCTCGCCTTGAGCGACTATAGCCATGTTGACCATCGTCATGAATTGTTCCATCGTAGTGCGACGCCAGGTCTCGCAAGGGAGAGAGGGGTGGGGCCAGCCGTGATGGTGTTGCACGTTGTACATGTTGAACCAAAGGTTGGACACAGTGTTGCCTTCCAATCCAAAAACGGCGAACGGAGTTCGGAAAACCATTTGAATGAGAGTTGACCATATGCATGACTCTATGTATAGCTTCTTTCCTACTCGATCATCGTGATGGAGTGGCGCCATACCGTTGGTTAGGATGCAAGGTCCCAAGATCCTGACTATATTCATTGCTTCAAAGGGGCGCATTAAGAGGCTCACGGTCTTGATTAGTCCAGTAAGGTTGCGGAACTCTTGAGCAAATTGCTCATCTGGGATAGCAATGGTCTTTTCATCTCTCTTGAGTAATTCCTGTTGGAGAACTTGAACTTGGCTACGCAGTGTTCCACACTCCTTCGAGTTCTGAATCAATGGACACAAAACAGAATCGAGGTTGCTCAAAGCGCGATCGTCGAATATCAAATCGTTCTCAGACGCCCAAGGCTGGAGGAATTTCTGCACGATATAGTCATAGCGACTCCTGTAATGCTGGATGTTTTTGTTTTCCACTGGACGATGATATCGGTCTTGCTCCAGGAGATTAGGGACTATCTGCGTCTTGCAACATGCGTCGCTCAGCCTCCCTTCTAACCGAGGATTCTGTGATTGTATATCGTGGGAATGCTCTGAAGACTCATTGTCCGGCTCAAGTACAGCGTGTTGCAAAGCCCTGAACGCATCGGAGATGTCTCTAGGCTGCCGTTTGTCGCCCTTATCGTTACGTGAATTTGCATATCTCCGCAGTTTATTGGACAGGTGACGCCGGACCACGTTAGGTCCAGGCTCAGAACTCCTTGTATGTTCGTGGGTATTGGTCGGACTGGAACATTGTTCGAATTCTGTCATTGTAAAGAAAAAGTATGGTCGCGCGAATGAGAGTAGCATGGGAGAACTGCTCATGACAACCCTGCTAGATACTCCAACAGCTGATCCAATAACCCAGGAGCCGAGACGAAAAACGATTAGAGCTTGTGCTGCCCCGCTCTCGCAAGAATGCAATAAACGCGCGTTAAATTCATGTTGCCCTATTCGGAAGGCATGCAAGCATGCTGAGGAATGTAAATATACATACTGTTTCAAAGTCCATGAATGACAACGCAGCACTCCGAAGATACTAATGTGTCAATCGTGAGCATGAATACCACTATCAAGAGGAATCGATTAGTGTTAGGCCTTGACTATGGCACTACATACACAGGTAAGCCGATGTTCACACCTGAACAAAGTCTTACCGTCACTAAACGACTTTGTAGGTGTGTCGTTTTGTGAGACCTCTGAAACCGAATTGCTGGAGAAACATATTGAGGTAGTGAACGATTGGCCCTCAAGGCATACGAAGATCGGTACGAAAGAGAAGGTCCCTAGTGAGATTGCTTACCTTCCCGACGGCCAAAAGTGGGGCTCACTCATCCCTTCAAACGTGCCTCGCTATATGTGGACAAAGTTACAACTTGATCACTCGCAGGGGGGTGAAGCCGCCAAGATTGTTGAAGAACAACAGCTCGTCTCGAACAGAAAGCCCGTTCGTATAGTCGCTGATTTCTTATCACACGTCAAAAACCATTTGCTCGGAAACCTGGACGATCGTTATGGGCGAGAACTGTGGACTACATTATCTCTCACCCTCGTCGTCACTGTACCAGCAGTATGGTCTGATGCCGCGAAAGATCGCACCTTGAAGGCGGCACATCAGGCTGGATTCAACAAAGCGTTCTTCCCACGACTGGAGCGAACTATTCTAGCAACAGAACCAGAGGCCGCGGCGATTTACGTTATCAGGTCTCTTCGTGGTACGACTCAGGACCAGCATCTCGCTTTAAACGATGGCTTAATTGTCTGCGATTTGGGTGGTGGTACAGTTGATCTGATTTCTTACCGCATTGCGGAGCTTGGACCGACAAAGGTCGAAGAAATCAGTGTCGGCACTGGAGACCAGTGCGGTGGCAGTTTCATTGACCGCGCATTTCTTCATTGGCTTGAACGTCGGCTTGGCTCCGATTACTTTATCAAGATTGCTGGCTGCTGTAGCGAGGATATACCACGGACCTCTCTTACCTCGAAGCTAGGCAGACTCGTTCAAGACTTTACTCTGGAAGCCAAAAGCGGGTTTTCGGGCACTGAAACCAACTTTCTAAGGCTCCCAGCTCCCCTCAACGTTATTGAAGAAGATCTTGCACGAGGCATTGCCGACGGCGAGATCATGATTACTCCTGAAGACATGATCGAGATGTTTGAGTTTCCTGTTCGTCGGACTACCGAGCTTATACTAGGCCAGCTAGTACAGGTACGGCGTCTTGACGACATTCAACTCAAATACCTATTCATGGTTGGTGGGTTCGCAGAATCACCATACATGTACAACAAGATCAAACAATTGGCAGAATCTGAAAACCTCAAGACAATCAGACCACCACATGCCTGGTCCTCTGTCGTAAGAGGCGCAGCAGCAAAAGGTCTTGAGTTGAACGATCGCCAATCAATTCGAACTCGCAAATGCAGAAGGCACTATGGCACAGGATGCGACCAAGCATTTGTTCCTGGAAAGCATCGCGAAGTGGATTCTTATATTTGCCAGTACAGTGGGATCAAGAAGGCACGAGGGCAAATCGCCTGGCTTTTAGAGAAAGGCCAGGACTTACCTACATCAAAGTCAGCTCATGCGAAACTGCCCATGTACAGTACATTTGGACCAAACGTGAGCAGGAAAGTGCAGATCCCCCTATGGGCTGCTGATAGCGATCAAGCTCCAAATCGCCAGAAACATGCTGTGAGCATCATTCACAGTAATGGTAATTGTCTACTAACCAAGAGCAGGCTGCGTATGAAGTTGCTACGCTAAGCGTTGATTTTAGCAAAGTGCCGAAGTGCAAGTTCAAGAAGTATCAGAGCGAAACGAAAGTCGGGTATCATGAGGTGCACTTTCAAGTGGAAGTTTTCGCAACGACTTCATTGGAGTATGCGATGTCTATTGATGGAACACGTTATGGATCGGTGACCGCAAACTATGTCTGAGACTCTGCGTACCAGCAGTTAAATGATGAAACTTAGTCTGTCATAACGAACTTCCTACAAGTTGTCATGAGATTGCAGTAATATCAACAGTCGAGAGATCGGGACTATGTCACGTTGTGAAGTGATAGACAGCCGGTATAGCTGCGAAGTCTTTCAGTTAGTACTGTGCCGAGATGGGGAACTAGTAGAAATAATACTTTGAAACGATTGGTATTCTTTAGACAGCGTGGCTAATTAGTATCAAATATCCAAAACACAGCGGCTGAGAAGTGTGAATCTGGTTCAACAAGACCGGCTGGAAATGCTCGTTGGGAGCAGCTCATGCCCTCTTCTAAGGTGGGATAATCCCTTCGTGCTGACCCATTTAGCGCGGCCACTGATGTCTGCAGGAGCGAGCAACATCGCGTTGCTCGACTGTTTGGCCTATTGACTATCAGATTGGAAGTTATCAAATTGAACTTATGGGGATGACAGGTGCGGCGATATTCAGTTGTCTGAACGGCTGCTGAGATTGGCGATGTGTGATTTCTTCTTATCATGTGGCTGAGAAGTGGCGAAACGAGCATGTGTGTTGGCACGATTCAGTTGTACCTATGTTACATCTAATGATGTAGAGCTAGCGGTATAATATCTTGTTCGTGAGGGCGTAACGGCAAGACAGCCACTCAGTTGAAATAACTGGATCAAACCAGTCCGTGGCGGTGCTATCTATTACGTCCACCAGTATTCCCTAGGTTCTGACTCGTAGGGCGAGTGCAGCACCCATTGCACAGAGTTCAGGAGCGAAGACCATCTCGTTGCACGTGCGCAAACAAACCGTAAGCAGAAAAGATATTGCGCAACCAGGAAGTTACAATTCACGTTTCAGGACTTTCAGGCACCCCGAAGAGTCTGTTGTTCAGCCCACATCGAGTGATGGGTGCCCTTCTGCCATGCATTTGCAGCAAGTGCCTGGTGCTGTCAACGTTGGGTTCCGTACCGCAGCTATGCGCTACCAACAGTAATCTCATATTGCATGTGGCGTTTTTTTGCCTTCTGAGCTATCGCCCTTGCCGACTCGAGTACCAAAAGAGGCGCCTTTACTGAGTAAGTAGGTCCGTCGCATTGCCTACATGTCGCGTGGGGTCAGAGCGCTCTTCAAAGCTTGTCTGGCAGGGAACAGCGAGGAAGATTAAGAGGGCTTTGCGCTAGTCCCATAGATGATGCACAACGTTGAGCAGACGAAGATTGTTCAAGGTAACTTGTGTCGACCTGGATTATAGTCGCCAAACTTGCACAGACTTCAACACCTCAATCCATTCACAGCAGCGCAACTTAGGTATTATCTTCAACAAACACAACAAACACAACCTCTCACAACTCAAGAATAGGAGCCTTGCAGCGCACAACAACATCTCATCCCCAAAGGTTGACACGTTCCAGTCTTTACATCCCCTTTCGTACAGACGATTTCCCTGTTTAGATCGAGAACTGCATCACGCACTCAAGCTTCCAATTGTTCCCCAGACGCCCATGATCTGCCACAGCTCTTGACCATTGCTTGATTGGAGTCTGTGACAATTTGCTTTCGAATTTCGACGGGCACTGTTTGGCGCATCAAGTCGGGCTAACGATAGCCCGGTGCACACTGTTGGAGTGGTCTGCTGTTAACTGTCGCATCGTCGCGCAAGCAGTCACGCACGCCACATTTGCAAAGGTAATTCTTATTCCAGTGCGCGGAACTTTACCCAGCAACCCTCATGCGCGGCAGTCCTACCTAGCGTGACTTTCAGTTCTGACAGATGTTCTTTTTAGCCGGGCTCCAGCAATACTCTACAGTACTTTATCTGTTCAGCATGTCTGGATGAGCTTTTGTAGGTCACCATAGCCTCCACCATCGCCAAACAGCATACTCACGGCCTCGCGTAGGCCTTTTCTAAGAAGCTTTAATCCTGTAACTCTCAGCGGATGTGCAGAGTACAAAGAGCACGTTCCTCCGCTTAGCTGCGCTTGAGCAACACTTCACCTACAGCAGTAAACCTATACACATGCGTGCGTTCTTAAATCCTCCTAAGTAAGGCATTACTTCATTCTAATTATTGCCTTCTACAAACAATCATAACACCCTTTAAGATCCCAGGCTCTTCTACTTACCCTAGGATTAGTAATATATTAAAACTAGTTGCTTAGAACCTAACACTATTACTCTGTAGCTTAACTAAGAAGTATAGTTAATACTCTCTCTTCTCTACTAAGAAAGGGCTAGCAATAGCTAATTAAAGTAGGAGAAGTATAGAAGTTATATCTTAGGGGCAAGGAGCACCTAGTAGTTAGTTTATAGGTGCTAATAAATAAGATATATAATAGTTAATGCTTCTATAAGACTTATTCTATAGGGGATTTAGTATAGGGCAGCGCGTAAGCTAGCTATTAGCGTTAAGTTTAGCTGCTGTGCATTAACATTAATTGCAATAGGCTGAACATAAAGCCGCTTAGCAGCCAAAGCACAGATCAGTGCACAGCAAACAAGTGAACATGCTATTAATGCGCTTCGGGTCTAAAACAGGAGTTACAATACACAGTGAGGACAATCGTTTGTGTCGCTCGGACCCTGAAGCTTTGCTGAGAACACAATGCCATTCTGCAGCCTGTTAGAGATTGAAGTACAGAGGCCGAAGCCAATGAAAAGCTGGCGAATCGTAAGCCCCATGCCCCAGCACTACGTTGATCAAATCGTCTCTGGACTCAGCATAGCACAAATACCTGGCGAATCTCAGCAAGACTGATCTGCAAAGAATGTTACCTTGAAGCTGTTTGTGGGAACCGCTCGCAGTTATATGTCTGTAAAATCACATACGTGAGCAATCTTGTAGCCTTAGCATTGCTTACTTTCTACAATCAGCACACATTAATCCATACTAGACGAGATAATCTATAGGCACACAGCTACAGTTGAATGTTTATATAACCTTAGAAACCGCTGCCTAGACTCTTCGATGTTCTATTATAGGGACGTGCAAATTATATAAGCTACGCACATATCTATATGAAACGAATCCTGTATGATGCAGGCTTAATACATGGCCAGATCGTACAAAATCTCCTTTTCTACTACCGGATTTCACGAATTTAGGAGATCAATGCAAGTGTAAGGACTTGTTACAGAACCAACAATCGACGAAGTCCATTAGCAACCTGCACTACCTCCTCTATTACCTATACAACGGTGCTTCGCTGTCCAGAAGGGCTTAAAACAGAGTAAGGCCCAGCGTAGGAATATCTAGACTGGTATGTCATCGATTGCAGCTAAGCCTACCACTCGAAAGTCAAGTTCGAAGCGCTATGATGTCTGATCTTCTATAACTAGGAAGCATGGTCCTACTATATAAGAACACATTAGCAACAACATTGTTCACTCGGTAGAGTAAAGTGAAAAGCGCTAGATTTGCTGTAGGAAATCTATTGCACAACGTCACAGCTTATCAGCACTCTTGTACATAGCGGGTGGGTAGGGCAATCCCAGGAGTGAAAAGAGAACGCCTTGACCCTGAGTTGCATAAGATGATCCGCCCTCTTCTTCTAGGGCCGATTCTAACATCCACAACACTCACAACTACCTTTTCATACGCTACTGCAGAATCACAACAAAGTGGCATCTTCAAACTCCAAGTCCAAGCCCCTGCCTGGTTGGCTGGCAGTCTTCTACATCTGCGCGATCAGCTTCTTCCTTGGCCGAGCTACTCGACATGGGCCGATGGATCTTCCAGCTTCCAGCCAGCCTTTCAATATATACGATTTTCTTGACCCCTGGACCAACGGATCGCTGTTGCTATCCACGCCAAAGATCGGCAATATCGGTTGGCCACTAGCATCCTTCGTCAGCGGAGCGTTGAATCGCACCAAGACCCAAGCCCAAGACATAGGCAACGACTTCCCTTCGTCTAGTCATCATCCAATCAGCCGCAGTCAAGAATACAAGCATATCGCGATCTATCTTGAAGAGCTACGAATGAACCGTCCGACTGTCAAGGCTCTGGAAAAGGGAGCTAACGCTCGCTATGTAAGTTTATCATCCCCTTGTAGCAAAATTCCAGGTTCAACGCTAACATGAAACTTAGAACTGTCTGCAAAACGCGACTCAAGCAGCGATGACGCATACTATTACCAACCCAGTTGGTTATAGCTACTTTGATGATGTCTGGAAGAATGCAAAGCCGGATCAGTGGACCCGCGCACAGCGCGAGCATCGTGCTGCAGTCCTCAACAATCTCGCTGAAAAAAGCATGTCGGCGTTCGGAAACTACCTCGCTGATGAATGGTGGTTTGATGTTGACAATGAAATCGGAGCTGTGAAGCAGGCTGCCAAGCAACTTCGTGGTGTTCTAGTCAACAATCCTCTTTACAACGACACTCAGGGATGTAAGACTCTCTCAACGACATCGACATACAGTGCATGGAACCTGGTTTGCAGGATCAGCACGTAGGTACAGCCCGTAAGCTTGATCGCAGTAGATGCTAACTTAGAACAGAAACATGACTATCCGTCGCAACATTAACTTCTGTCACCGTCTTCAAGGTGTCCAACAGCTAGACAATGAAGCATCCTATGTCCGCAGGACAGTTGGGATGCACCATGTCTCTGGTAAGAAGGCCCTTGGTATGATGAAGAACAATCACGCACACATCTCCACCTCTCGCTCGCCCGCATCATGGACTCATCCCGCTGCTGGACGATGCCAATGTGTACTCGTCTTATGTCGAGTCGTATGGCAAGTTAGCAGGCTTTGCTACAAATGAGTCATCGTGTGTACGTACGGGTCATAGCTGGGATACTGCCATGTGCCTCTGGTCGATGTTCTAAGTCGGGGAATGTGGGGCGCATGGATTGAGACTAAGGAACCGATAAGTTATCAAGCAATAAAAACCCTCGGCGGATATTGAGTGTCAGCACAAATTCAAGACAATCACAGGGATCCTCTTGGCAAATTATTGTAGTAGTTAATTCGCTCAATGCAACACATGTGTGCAGTCTACAACTACACTGAACTTACAACTCTTCATTAAACTTTCATGCAAAGATAGCAGAATTGCAAATGTATACTGCAACACCAATATCTGTCATAAGATCTTTGAATGCTTCTATGCGCTATGTGCAGCTGCTTGCGGAATAAAGAGGCACAAGTTCAGTTACTTAGGCGCAATTCTTTGGTGGGCAAAGAGCTGCGAAATCGTCTTTGTCGCTGCCCCGTGCGGAAGCCCTGCTCAGTAAATTGAAGATAATTGGACGACTGTGCGGTGGCGAGCGAGACCATATCGGGCAGGGGTAGGCACTATGTAGCAAAAAGATGGGTGGGGTCGCCGGCGCTGGGTGTGCGAGGAATATCGGTCTTTCCACCTCTCTGGGCATCTTACGACACCAATCCTCCGCACCTAAGCAAAATACTTAGACTAAAGTAGGACGCATAGAATCATTAAACTTTTTCTTTGCCGTGGCGCTCTTCTCTGTGTTGCTCGTCTCAGCACTCCGACTGCTCGGACTTTCCTCGGACCTGGCCTACCTTCCTCCCTCACGCTCTCCTTCGACCGCGCACGTACTACGCACTGCAGTATCCTACGCTTATTCCTCCCTCCCCTTTGCGCGCACCAACGGCGCCAACACCTAACTTCCCCAGCAACTGTATGTTGAGGTATTTGGTTCCGGCGGATCGGGGCTGGTGAGATGCAATCGGCACGCGGCGAAGCGCTGGACATCGCCGTGAGCCAATGGTGACTTGATCGTGTGATGGGTGGTAGATTCATTCGCGACGACAAAGGAAATAGGTTGGTAAGTCGGTGGACCATGTATGGTTGAGTCTGGTCTGTAGAGTTGGACGCGCTTTGACCGGCACGGGGTGGTTAGTTGCCTGTTTCTTTTCGTGCGGTTACAGAGAACGAGAGTGAGAGAGGAAGGACAAATATTGATATCACCATCTCGTTTGCGAGCGCGACGTTCGGAGATAAGCAGATTTTGTGGTCCAAGGCGGATTCTGTGGTTCTACCGTTTGGGTGGCGGAAACACTTGTAGAGTGAGTGAAGTTAAGCTTGGATAAAGCGCACGTAAAAGCTGATGCTGCGGGTTGTATTGTAGGCTAGCAGAGGCGATTAGCGTTAGCTCTCGTGATGATACCGTACTCACTCTGGCGCCAATATCTCATCAGCTTGGAGGGAATACGCCAATGAATTGTAGCCAGGGACTTTGATGGAAAGTAGTCGTATGTCTGGGACTGATTGCATGTATTTAATAAAGCCTAGTCTCTCTCTCCCTGCGGCCGCTCAAGCACTACTGATGCAGCATTCGATCTGCTATCAAATGGGCCTGTAGCTGCGTCAAGCGCTTGCGAAGAGTGCGGGTAGAGATACTTCAGTCTTGGGATCTGTCCATGACGGAGTACCCGTGGAGGGGCTAACAAGTAGGGCTGGAGTCGTGCTCGTGGTTGATCGACGCTTGCGGCATGAGAGGGCTTTATGGGCTCTACGAGCTTCGCGGTGAATTGTTACTAAGATGCCCAGGGGATGTATCCACAGAGCACAACAGGCGGTAATTGTAGTGCCGGTGCAATCTAATGAAGTAGCACACCCCATGGCGGGCTGCGTCGACGACTGTGACTAATTCTGCACACCTGCAGTCTGCAGGTGCTGCATACTCAAGATCTTTGACGCCGCTAAGGACTCGTCTTCGCTATTCTTCTCTGAAATCTGACCTGGATCATTCCGACTGGATTCTCCTGCATAGGACACGAATTTGATTCGATGAGTGACTGATCACTGCTAGAATGGTGGACACTGCCGTTGTTGGTAGACACCATCACAAGCGCCAGACCACTGGCACGATGATGGTAGGCTTGGTTGATAGGCGCCAGCATGTTGCTCTGCTGCGCCATACTCGATGGAGCAGGTGATTCGATTCGTCCAGATGAAGACGACGTATGAGCCAGGTGCGCAGGTGAATTCAACGTGTCCACAATGCTCAGGTTACAGATAAAGAGCGCTCTTGGCTCACGCAGGGATCAAAACAACTGAGCAACTCCAGGGCAATGTCGGTCTGATGCGCATAGCTGGGCGTGCTGGACAGTCTGGTCGGTAGCTCAGGTGGCGGTGACGCTCCGAAACGAGATCGAGTTTCAAAGCGAGCCTAAGTTGACGCCAGCTGCGATTCAGAATGCCGTCTCCAAGACGATGACTCATATCCAAAGCGCTCTCGGCGCATCCCTACCAAAGGAGACCGACGGCTCGCAAATACAGTCTAGCGCTGATTAGCTGTGAACTCTCAAAGATGCAGCCTCACTGGCCCAAGAGAAGCGATCGTCACCTGCAACTGGCCTTGCACTATACCAACCATACGCGCTCACACATTGCCCTGCTTCATCACTGATCCAATCAACAGCAGCAGTAAAGCCTCAATATGCGGAGCTTCTGTAGCACTTAAACCTAAGGAGGTCGCAGCGAGAGTAGAAAGCGTAGAACTGGTGCATGTTCCCGCAGTCTCCGGTGTCATGGAAACTTGTGCGGTAACAGATGCACAACTCAATATTGTGGGCACTGCAGCAGCAGTCGATGGCGGTGTGCGTGGTGGTGTAGGAGCGTCACGGCGTGGCGTTTTGCCACGCTGGGATTGTGCTGGTGGATGTACCTTCGGTGAGTGGCCGTTTGCTCTTAACGGTGTAGGAGACTTGAGATGATGGGCAGCCACGCTGACATCGAACGGAGATTGAAAAGCGGAAGAATAAATATCCTGTTGAAGAGCGATGAGATCAGCTAGCGCTTACGCATCTTCCCGTCGACTTTGCCGAAACAGTGGTTTGAACAGTTACTGAACAATGCTGTGTGGTGACATGTCACAGCGGTCAACTAGGGCCCTCAATCTCGAAGTGTAAATACGAAATGCTGATGCTAGTCATGCTCAGTTCCGTCTCGAGGTGAAAGTTGATGGGTATGGAGCGGTATTTCAGATCACAGCGAGTCGTCAATGCTCCACGCTTTGCGCAGTTAAACATCACCGTGATGGCTGTCTCTAGATAGCTGTTGCTATGGTGGTTCAGTCTCTTGGATAAGTTGATCTGGGTGCTGCTAATGATACTAATGCAAGGTTGCACACAGCCATCTGTACATGAACCGGCAGTACAACTGCTGCAAATTTGATCAAGATAGACTGCTACATTCATCATAGCTCGAACTTACTAGCATATGCGGTGAGAACTGATAAGAGCAGTGGCAGAATGTGTCGAGCACTTCCACAACACAACTCAGCGACCGCCCTAGTCGGCGACTGATTCAGCAATACTCCGCAGAAGAGAGTAGGGTGACGCTGTATGGTCTAGGTGGTGTAAGAGGCATCGTCATAGTTTACAGCGTCTCGTTTGAAGCAGAATCTGTGGCCTCGTCGCAGGTTTATTCATCGCAGGTTGGGCCTAGAGGATGTTGGGTGAGGTCCAGTGAGCACACCGCACCCACTCACATCATGGTGACGGCGCGAGAGATTTACCTCAGCTTTTCGTAACACATACAAAATCGCGCGTGTGTGTGAGGGTAGAAAAGCAAAACCCGGTACGTACAGGCAAGCTTCCTGTGCCACTCCGCCTGCGCTACTCCTCACGTCCCTGTGGTCGCCACGATAACCCGACGAACCACTGACAGGCAGTCACCAAGCCTCTACTACAGCATCCTCCATGCGGTTGTATCTGATTGCACGCTTATTGTGTGTACACACGCAGTCTGCGCATCGCTACAACATGGCACTACGGATTATTGTCCCAGGGGACGACCGAAGCCACACTGTTGCTCTGGCCACGGGACGAGATTTGCACGTCGGAGACGTGTGAGAAATGAGCGGCGAAGTATGAGTTGCGGGATATAAGATGCCATGCGAGACGTGAGATAGAAGATGTGATGCAACGTACATGTGATATTACTGCGTGTAAACCCTGCGCAGAACTCGTGATAGGATGTAGGTCGGCGGTATTCCTCCAATTCAGCTCCATACAGAACAGTAGCGACCTACACCACCGGACCATATCGACGCCGGTCTTCGAGTACAGGAAGCCTGATCTCTACCGGCGCTCACCAACTTATGCTCTATTACTCAACTCCGCGTCGCGACAAACCGCAGCAGGGACCGTGCCTTTCTCTTCGACGGGCGACAGTTCGCACAGGGGGTCCTCCAGCCATTGGCCACTTCGCGTTAGACGCGTGTTGTGCAGCGTGTGCAGACGCGGCGACCTGGAGGCGAGTCAGCACAGCGTGTTTGTGCAGCGATAGTCGAGTCGTACCGCAGCATGTGGTCAAGTCTTGGTTTTGCGGCAGCAAAACAGCTGCACAGATCGCGCACCGCGACATGTTGTTCTCTGGAGTACCCTCGCTGCGGGTCACGCAAGTCTCCCTCCACGGCTTTGTCATATGCGCTGATAAGGAGCGCCTTAGCGATCCAGGAGAACTTTCCGGACTTATGGAGGTCGTTAGTGGAGAAATAAGTCGAGCCGCGGGAGACAGACAGTCTTCGAGGCTTGGGTGTTGATTTGCTGTGCGCGCTTGCTGTTCTTTGCCTTGACGCGGTGGTGACAATGGGCGCGCTGCTGAGAGTATGCCAGCCATTGGTTTCCGGTCAAAGTAACCTGGGTGCAGGGGTTGTAGTATATTATCAAGTCGCTCGGCTTCATACCTGTGTCAGGTTGCTTGGCATGGCTGACTAGACCTACGCGGAATGCGCAGTCTGGGCGAATCATGGCGTTTTGAAGGTTGGCCATCGGCTCGTGAGCGCCCTGTATGGTCGAAAATGAGCTTGGGAAGTGGATGTCGGACACGACTGGACTGTCTGAGAGAGCCTGATGACCTATCCGCGCTTTTTTTTGGTTCAGAGAAGTTCCACACAGCGATTCTGTTGGATTGAGGAAGATGAGGCGCGTTCGCTAGCAAGCGGATACCAAGAGTGGAAACAAGGCGAGGGTCGAGCAATTAGGTGAGCGAGAGTGAAAGCCCCTTGTGACGTCAGGGCCGCTACAATCACGTTGAATGAGAGCAGAGTCGCCTCAGAAAAAGTGAATACAAGAATGCTACCCAGATGCAACGCACAAGATTTCTGTCGAATTAACATTTGCCAATGTCGCAAGGCCCCAGCTGTGATGACTGCTCAGTTGCCTCCATTTTATAGGACATCTTCAACAGTACCTTCGTCCTTTAGATTCTAGAAGAGTGTTGTGGAAGTTAGGAAAACGTAAGCTTGTGCTTATAATACATGTTCTTTCGGACCCTGGGCCTTACGTCTCTCACAAGCCGTGACCTACGCTGAACTTGATCGAAACTCGCCGAGGGCTTAACGTAGCAGCTGCCAACAGTGAAGGCTATTGGCTCATCTATTCATCAATAAATACGAAGAGCATTAGAATGCTGCGCGACATAGAAACCTTAAACACGCCCAGGCTCAGATGGCACGGTCTACTCTTTGCGGCGTATTGTGAGTCTGCACATCAATGGTAAAATATTCAAGGAGGGCCTCTCAGAGTTCAGGGCATAGAGTGAAAAGTTTAGCTTTGAGAAGCGTAGTGATTGGAATGTTTCTATCCTTACGTTACAAGTATGCAATTTTCATTCCACTTCTCTGTCATGCTTTGTTAGCACAGCAGATAAGTGATAAAATCAGCATACTGTCTCTTGGGACTCATATCGAGATACAGTGCCGATCCATCCGTCTGATTGTGGACACGTCAGAGGTCCTTCTCAAACTTCCTATGTATGACATCCGCAACATCATCTACAACGCAAAAAGTGGCAAAGCAATCGCTAGTAACCAGCTACTCACTTCCTGAGTCCGAGAATCTGCACCTCCAGTGAATTCAGGCAGCGATGTCGTGGCGGTTCGAGTTCCAGCAGTCGCATTGAAACCAGTTGTTGAGGTATGTGAGCTGGGCAGGATCGGAGATGACGAGACAGAGGTCAGAATGTTAGTTGAAACGGACGTCAACGTCGAAATCGACGTAAGAGTGGTCGCTGAAGTGGAGGTAAGGGTGTCGTCATCCGCGCCAGTCAAAGTCGAGGTTAAGACCGAAGTCGAAGCCAGGGTAACAACGACATCTTCCGTAGTTGTAGAAGAAACGTCCACAATCGTAGTCGGGAATTTGTCGACGATCGTGCTGACAGAGGTAACCGTTCCACCGCCGACAGTTTGGATTCCACCAAGGCCAGTGCACACCTTGCCAATCGGGCAGCAAACAGGCAGTCCACCTGTGCCCACGCCAGCACAGTAATCACCAGGCCGACATCCAGCAGATCCACCGGGAGCCGGGCAGCAGGTAGTGGTCAATGGGATGCAGGCATTGTCACTTCCACAGAGTTTTCCACCACTTTCTTGGCAAGAAAGTGTGGTAGTTTGCCGTTTGAAGAGTAGTGGGATGCTGTCGGTGCAGATGACGGATACGGCAAGCAGCGGTAGGAAAAGAGATGTCTTGAACATTGTGGGTGTATGGAGGTCTTGAAAGACTGTTGGAAGCTGGAAATCTAAAGGCAGATGTGAAGAGTCAGGTAGCTTTATATGTCGGACTCAGCTCGATCAGCCTCAGCGACGCGACGATTGCAATTATTTCCAGAGCGTCCGATAGTGTCGTGGGGAACACGGAACATTGAGCCGCAGAAACTATTTACATGCGGTATGATGATGTACAAGTTCCTCTATACACATATGGATGCCATTTGGTCAAGAAAGCGATATACGAGAGCGCCAATGCAGCCACAGAAGCACCGGGATTAAACATAGTTTCAGATTGCGATTTTGGCCCCCAAGGCTGAAGTAGCCTTAGCGAGGTGGTTTCTCTTGTTTTGAGCAAGCAACCGGCCTTATGCTTACCTGTGGACGCAGAGTGACCAGTGCTCACGTTCGCTTATTCGACTGAAGGTAGTATCTTTGTATGGGTTCGAGTTATTTGGGTAGTTGTCGCCGCTGTATTTTCTGGTCAGGCTGACATGCGGGAAGGAAACAGCCACAATCCGGGGTAAGCGAGAACAACAAACTTTCTGCGAACTGGGTGAGGTGTCTCGCCGCAAATCTGTGCCTTGAAATTCGATAATTGGTGCAGGTGGCGGACATCTGATCTCCGGTCTCGCAGCCAATTACTTGTTGTTCCTGCATGTTTCTATTCTTGATAAAAGCGACTGCACTTGGCATACAGCGGAAGCTGCAGCCACGCGGCAAGGTATGACGTATTCTTGTTGACTAACACGTCTAGTAAAGCACCATAACAAAGATAGTCTGTGGGCATAATGGCTAAACTCAATATGATTGTTGAGAAGCGGTTCACCGGTCGCTTAGCACTACAGTATTGTGTATCGCGCTGGTTGACCTTCCTTGACTGTACAGACACTGTCCAATTCTGCTGCTCGAGAGCTGCATAGGATGATCAGCCGTGCTGATAGGGGGGCAGAACAAAGCGACCTTGTGCAGATGCGGTGGGCCGGTCCCGCGTTGTGATAATACAACTGCCTGGGTACCTTGTAAAATCATGTGCACACACGACTCAAAGCTTTTGTTCTGGAATGACGCCCGTATAGTTGACTCGTCAATTGCGAAGTTGGACCTATGGCAAGTCGAGCATATCATATTCCAAGAGCTGCAATCGATTACGAGTCCTCAGATCATATCTTACACCTTGTAACATTCTATCAGAATTTCTCACACCTGATGAAAAGGTCATCCGTCGGTGCTGGCTGTCACTAAACTCTTACGAAGGACCATTCGCACGCGCAAGTCATAGGCGCGTTCTAGAAACAAATAGCGAAGTCTTTGCAAGAGTAATCTTCAACATACCTAGTAGACAGCCAGGTCATTTGTCTGGCAGCAGACACGCCTTTCCCATCCCTTACAGAATTCTTGCTTAAGTGGTAAGTCTGTCCTTTCGCTGGAGACGCGTGGCGTTGTTGCAACGCCAACTCGCTTCTCAAGTCTATAGACAATTCGCTCCACGTCTGACTGTTTGATGGATAAAACTGTTCTAGCCGGTCGCAGGCCTTGCACCCCTGATTAGAAACGATAGTGCTACACTTAATGTCAGAGTGTCAACGTCTTAAAACAGTCACAGTCCTGCCGCGCCAAGCTCACGTTTTGGAAGCTTCTTTGGTACAAAAGAGTTGCCCAATAACCTATGTCAATTACTCTACGTTGTAGACATCGCCACAGTCTTCCTCGTCGGTATCTTCATGGAAAATTATGTGGCGAATTCAGGATTGACTGCTCAGACAACGTCTTGATGCAGCTTAAGAAACGTGAAAATTATCTGTGGCTCGTGTGTAAGTGGAGCCCTCTTCTTCCAAATCATATCGGCATCGGCATCCGAGTGTCAAAATGATCGAAAATGTTCGGAGGAGATTTGAGCTGAAGAGGATTGCACCAATCCTCGTGTAAGCCCTTTGCCAGGTCAGGGGCAAGGCGAAACGGCCTGGCTAGCGGGCAGTGCAGACAAACCAGTAGAGGCAGAAGATGATGTTTTCAAGCCAGACACCAGATTCGCCAACAAATTTCCTATTCACAGTCAGATAGATTGGGGCCTTGTAGTGGTTCGTTCAGCTCCCACTGTGTTGGGCAGCTCAGGCGAAGAATCCGTGCGCACCTCTGTTGAAGAGATGAACGGACAAGATAAAGCCATGCCGTCGACAGACATTCGCCTTCAGCAGTTAGAGTCACCACCCGTAAGCGACCTTAAGGCAAGTGGCGAGTGGTCCAGGCTTCAATCGAGCTCGTGGCATGACAGTGCGTCCTCGAAGTATCTCGGCAGTCTTTCGGTGATTGGGGATTTGTCAATGTAGTCGGGTAAGAATGGGTTTCTAGACTGCAAACTCTCTGTCGCTGAAAGTGGCTCCTCAGACATAGCATGCAAGTCTGTCTCCTTCACCGCAGCCAGTGCTTCAACCTTCCAAGACGCGCCAGCCCATCTTATCGTTGTGTCGTGCTCACAGGAGCCAGCGACAGCGGTCTTCTCCTTCACGCCAGCCCGAGCAAGGCGCTGCGCGGAACGGAGAAGCAGCATGCGTTTGTTGTCTCAATGCGTCATCGCCGTGCAGAGGCGCGTGGTTTCGCGATTTGTGTGCGCGTGAGGGCGACGCTAGGCTGCGTGGCATCGTGGTCGTCTAAGTGCAGAAGGCGCGGCTGGCAACCAACTCACTACGGGCGCTGGGTCGTGTAGACGCGGCGGTCGGCAGGCTGCACGTGCGAGAGCACGTTGCGTGAGAGCCTGGCTGGCGAGGGCGAAGGTGCAGGCGGCGTGGCGTCGTCGAAGGCGCTGGTTGTGTCGCTGCCAGAGCCGGGCCTGCCGGGGTGCCGGGGGTTCGAAGGGCGGCTCAGGCTGCGGGGCTGGGGATTGCGGTGGCTGCGATAGCTGGCAATGAGGCTGTGAAGGCCGTTCGAATTCACCTAATAAAGGTTGGACTGGGAAGTCGCGCGGTCGAACATCGTCGAGGTAGTCGAATTCGCTTGTACAATGAATGGGATCGGGGCTATACCATTGCGCACGTGACGCACGGCCCCGCACGCCGCATTACATCACCAAAAGAACCAAGTATCCTCGGAAAACACCACACATGCGAGACCACGATTCTTGGAATTCAATATCATTTTCGCGTTTAATTACCACCCAGTCGCTGAGACTCCAAGCAACCACATCCCACTAGAGGCTTACGGAAGCAGAAGGTCAACAAGAACACAGTGCGCTGGATAGCAAGCTTCTTAAGCAACAAGAACAACTGTATCCTAGCTGACAGATTCATTCGCCATGAACATGCTATGAAAACAGGCATTGCTTAGGGTTCGCCACTCTCTCCTCTGCTGTGTATTCTGTACGACGGAAATAAGCAGCCCCAAATGAGTGGTTAATTGCTCTCATGCCAGCTCCCTTTTACTCTCTTCTCCAGCTAAGTTCTGCTATAAATGCTGCCTCTGCGCCAAAGACATTGTAGAGTGGTGCTCGCACCATGTTTGAGTTGCGATTTAGCTTCGTCGTCTCCGCTCACGCCGTCGCTGAGCATTGGATATGAGTCTCTTAGCAGAATGGCTTTGAGTTTGATGCGTCACCTGCGAAGGGCGTCCTGCACAGTGTCAGCGCTGGTCCACGAAGCATCACTCTAAGACCTATCCCAGATCCCAGATCGGGTGCCAAGCTAAGGCCTCACCTGCAAGCGAGTCAGTCCTACCTTATTTTCTCAGAATGCTAGCCCTAAGTCCGATAGCAAGTAAGTTACTCGAAATCACCTCACCCGGCAACAACAAAAACGGCAAAAAGAACAACAATTCTGTCGCCACCTTATTCACACGCCGCAAGCGCGCCGAGAACCGCATCAGGCAAACCCCGCCGCTGAGCTCGGACGCCTGGACATGCTCACCCTTGTACAAAGGCGACTTCAAACGCGCTTTCGCGCTCAGAAACATCTTCGACCAACGGAGAGAAGAGTTGCCAGGATGAAGAAGGACAACGGGTCTTCAAATGTTGGTGAAGGTATCAAGGTAGAGGAGAAGACAATGCGTCGGAAGAAGCGTATGGTCGAGAGCTTCGGGCATAGGGGCGGGTCTGGGTCTAGAGCTGCGGAGGCGCGAGGTGAGCTGACGCTGGAGGGCGTAAACGTGCAGATCTGTCCGCAGAGACACAACGACGGACAATAGGCTTGAGACGATGTCTTGTTAAAAACATGTAGTTTCTCGCCAGTCCCCAGTCCGTTGAAGCAAGTACAGCACCTTATACCAGGCATGGCGTCATTGCAGGCGTCTCAAGAGCCACACGGTGAATGGCGAGTCAGTTCAATGACAGTATGGTAGCAGCTACTTGAAAGACTCCCGCAAGCAAAGGGGTGCGTGATAGAACTGTGATTCTGGACGGGTATGTAACGCCTGCGTCTTTGTATTGTGCTGTCATTTTGACTAGATCTAAATCAAGCTGGTTGGGAGGGTAAAGACTTTTCTAAACAACGTGCTGCAAAAGATGTAGATATACAGGCCGCAAGAAAAGTAATCGAGACATTGTGGCTAGGCCAGGTAAAAGTATTGTTTCGAGTACAATGTACCTCAGAAGAGTACCAACAGTCTATGCGCGACTGAAGCACTTGGACATAAGAGTCTTGTCAGACGAACCAGTCGGTGTCATGGAAAGCACGTAAGAAGAGTCGAAAGCGCCAGCAGACCAACCTGTGTATCCAAGATACACATCGCTGTTCTTGTTGAGGGCAGCGATGGCAGCGCAAACGTACTGCTCACAAGAGGCAGTGTTGCCACCGCCAATCTCGGAGACAATCGCCTTGCGCCCTTCTGTACGGAGCCACGAGGCGAGGGGAGTGAAGGAATCGGACACGTGGTCGCTGGTACACTCTGCGTTGGTACCGCTATTATCAGAGTCTAGGTAGCGGTGTACGTCGAAGATGAGCTTGCTCGAAGAACCGTCAGCATCCTTGACAGTCAGAAGTGCTGGGCCGCTGTTCTGCACAAAGGTTCCTGCAGAAGTGTAGTCGGTACCGGGGAGGAGGATATATTGTGATGTAGCACCAGCTTTGCGGATAGCGGTGACAGCAGCTTGCACGGAGGTAGTCCAAGTTGACATTGTAAGGTCGTGCGGCTCATTCATCAAGCCGAACCCGATGTTCATCACGGACTTGTACTTGGTAGCAAGTTTAGACCAAACGTCGGCGAACTGGTCGTTGGTAGGGCCGCCTTGACCGACAATCGCGCCGTTCCATCGGGCGTAGTTGTGCAGATCGATGATGCAAAGTGCGCCAGTTGCCAGACAAGCTTGAACCAACTTATCGTAAGCACCAAAGACAGTAGCATCAAGCGAACCGCCAAGTTGGTTGTTGACAAGATGCTGCCAGCCAATGGGTAGGCGGAAAGTGTTGAGCTTATCTACGCTGGTGAAGTGCTGCATCTGAGCAATGCCGTTTGCGCCTGGATCTACGTAGGACCCGTAGCAGGATCCATCGGTAGAGCAGCCAAAATCAAACCCAGCAATGTTGACACCAGCGTACGACGTACGTCCTGACGAAGAGGAGCTCTGCGCAGCGACTGTTGCAGCTGCAGGCTTCGTAGAAGATGCGGCGGCGACAGACTTGGCTATGAGACGGTCAGTGCTGTTCGAAGGATCCTGGTCAGCACTGATGCTTACTAGAGGATCGATGGACTGTCACCAGCGTGGTGGCTGTGATAGCTGTCTTGGTGGGTGCGGCAGCTTTGGTCGTCCCCACGGCAGCTTTGGTGGTACCAGCGGCAGCCTTTGTAGGTCCAGCGGCAGCACCTGGAACACACTGATAGAACCAGTCATTTTGGTACTGGCAATGATAATCAGACACACATGTGACGGCACCAGTCCATCCACTGCCGCCACATTGAGCATAAGCCGTGCTCTCGGCTGCGGTGGCAGTTGCCATCAAGGCGGAGAGTACAAATGAATAGCGAGTCATCGCGACAGCTGAAAGGATGCAGAGGGAAAGGAAGTAAATGAAAGTGATCAGAATCAGATAAAGAGTGACTGAAGTGAGGTAAAGATCTTGCCAGACAACCTGGTCCGAAGCAGTACGTATATAAAGAAAGATGTAGCAAGGGACGTGCCTCTAGTCTTAGTTCGCAGTTATTAAAGTCGACTCACCCTAGGTCGCTTGTGCTCTAGTATCGTCTTCCTTCGCAAGATGGTGCAGCTGCTATCCGTGAGCACAATTTCCGTCGTTGTTTGTAATTGGCCCAGAGCACGACCGTGCGTATCGTACCCGTAAGTAGCGGCTGCGGACCATGCGTCATTTACCAGACTCCAGATTCTTAACGGAAATAAGCTTTCAACGACAAGAGCTTGGGAAAGCTTGAAATTCTACCGGTTCGGCAATTCTGGAACGACTTGTAGGGTCTTTTCTGTCAACCCCTGGAAGGACATGTCGGAGAGCGTTGACGATTTTAGGAGGCCCCGCTGAGAGCTTCGTTATCGAGGCTGGGGCCGGCCCTTCTCAGGGCCGCTAGGCGCGGCTCCTATTTCGCGCAGCGCAGCCATCGAGTCAACTGCCTGGATGGCCGAAGAAATGATCTCGGAAGTGGTCGTGGTCGCGCATGCCTACGAGCCGTGGTGCCCATTGTACGCCGGTACAGCGAAGCACGGGTTCAGCAGTCGGGCGAGGCGCTGAGTAGTCCACCTTTGCGTGATCATGCTCGAAATGGTGTGAGCGAGAACCTAGGCTCCAGATTGTGATTCGAGAGCGGAAGGTCGCTCTCCACCATGTACTAGGATTTTCGTAGTCAAGCTCAGGGCGGCCCAGCAATAGTAGCTGTATCGCAGGTTACACTGTAGTCGTAGACCTCAGATCTAATAATTTTCTAGCAAGCTTTATAAATATCTTCTAGTTTCTAGATATTACTTTGTTAATCGCGTTTAAGATAATAAATATAGGCTTAGTTGCTTTATTACTAAATAGTATAGTAAAAAGCCTAAGAAATAGCTTCTCTATTACTAAGCCTAAAAGTAGATAATAATCTTTATTATTATAGATCTCTAGTATTTAATTATAATATAAGTTCTAGCTATCTTATTAATAAATCTACTTTCTATATACTAGATTATTAAATATATTATTATAATACTAAGAGTAATTTTTATCTATATAAAGTTATTAGGCCCAGAGCCTAATCTACTCTAGGTTATATTTTATATTCTAATTTTATAAATCTTTTTCTTCTTCTTCTAGATTTTAAGACTAATTTTACTAAGTAATAAAAATAATACTAATACTATAATAATTAAGTACTACTTAGGTAGCTATTTAAGTAGCTATTTAGTAGCTTTATAACGTACCCCACGGGCGAGTCGGACAACGGGCGAGTCGGACACTTTTGCCAAGCCCCCACCAAACTCCACCCCATTATAACACAAAACAACCTAGTTTGGTGCTGCAACGTGCAGTATAGTCTGTAATACTATTCAGAAACTACTTCTATCTCTTTCTTACACGTTCGCGCGTTATGTCCTGTCTGATTACACCGTCCACAGCGCCTTTGGGAGGGCTCACCTACTTCAGCGCGCACCTGCTTCTTTGCCTTCTTACCATCACCACGCGCCCCAAACTCTTTTAGAGCTGTTAATCGCTGGCCCTCTTTAACTACTAGAGTACCTTCTTTCTTAACCCGCTTTCTTTTGTGTGATTTTCGTCGTGTGGCTGCCTCATTAGCAGCTTGAAGCTGAGTAATCTCCTGTTGCGCCAACACTAGCTTATGCGCAATTATTGCTGCCCCCTTTGCCACCTTCTCAAACGCCTCAACCATAGAGGTAGGCGAGCTATCTATATGCCTCTGAATCCTTGTCTTTACAAGCGTTGATTGCGACCCAAGTTCAAGGGTGTTGCTTGGGGTTTGCGACTGCCAGAGCTCGTTGTTGACAGGTAGTAGTGGTGATGGCGTGCGCAGCTTCACATCGAGGCTGCTTATAACCCGTTGTGGATCAAACGGGACCAGTCCAGCGCCTCGGAACCCTCCCTGAATGTTGCTAGAAGTAATTGCAGCGTTGTAGGCGCGTATAAAGCATGGTAGGAACTCTGTCTTTGTAATGTGGTTGATCTGGTTGCGCATGAGTATTTCGGCTTGGCGCCCATACGCCTTCTTCAAAGCAGCAAAACAAGCCACATCAAGAGGCTGTGTAAGGTGCGATGAGTGAGGAGGCAAGCAAAGAGCAATAATCTTGTTATCCTTGCAGTATTGCTGGAATTCAAGAGAGTCGTGGCTCTCATGACCATCAATAATGAGCAAACGGTGGGTGCCAACAGTACGCTCCTTTGTATGCCTGTTAAAGTGGTTTATCCAGTCCATACCAAGCTTGTTGGTAGTCCAGCCGTTATCAGAGACTCCGATAACCCAGTCTTGAGGCAGTTCTTCCTCCTTGTACCAGGCAGAGAGGTGGTGGTGGGCCTTGAAGATAAGGAAGGCAGGAATGGCCCATCCTTTGGCATTGATGCCTACTATAGCTGTAGCCCACTCCCGGTCGCCTGGCTGGATAGCTTTTGGCCGACCTCGTCGTTCTGAAGCTGTAACAACTGCTCCTGGGGAGATCTGGCCCATCATGAAGCCTGTCTCGTCGAAGTTGTACGTGTCTTCATCCTGGATGCCATACTTGGCTTTGGTGTTGGCTACCAGGCCAAACCAGCCCTGCAGAACCTCAGGATCCTCACAGAGAGCTCTCTTGTAGTCGTACTTGCGATTAAACTTGACTTTAAGTTCTGGGTGTCGCTTAACAAACGTACTGGGCCAGTTTACGCCGACAGGACCCAGATTACGCTCAGCGCGCAAAGAATTGGCCATAGTAGCCACATCTGAGAGCCGAGGGGAAAACCCTCGCGCATCTAGCTCAAGAACATGTTTAACAATCACCTCCTCCTCATTGTTGTCCAGCTTCCGTGAGTTGGCCATAGAATCAGCGCGTGAAGGTCGTCCAGTGCGCTGGTCGCTTAGTGTGCTTCGAGGGACCTTGTAGATAGCAGCAGCGCGTCGCAGAGATAGAGTCACGTCTTGTTTAAGAGCCTGGAGCGCAAGCTGTATCTGCGCTTCTTTTGACGCGTCTAAATAGTGTTGTTGAGAAGACATTGGTGTAGGAGAAGGTGTTTGGTGGGGGCTTGGCAAAAGTGTCCGACTCGCCCGTTGTCCGACTCGCCCGTGGGGTACGTTATATATTCTTTATTAATATATTATAGTTATTTACTAACTAAGTAAACCTAGTTATACTATAAGTCTACTAAATATCTAAAACCTTATACTTATAATCTTAAGAACTAAATTACTATTATACCTATTAATATAGATTCTATAACTACTATTTAATAAAAGGTATAGAGTACTACTTTTTAAGCTTAACATATATAAAGTAGATACTTTTCTTTCTACTTTTTATATAAGTAGTAACCTAAGCTACTTTATATATACTTTATTTACTAGCTAATTATACTTTAGCTTAACTTCTCTACTTACCTCTAAGTAATACTTATATTTAAGGCTTTACTTATCTTTTCCCTATAGTTTAGCCTACTCTTGCTTCTACTTTAGGCCTTAGCCTAGTTCCTGCCCCTTTTTACCCCTGTTTAGGCTTAGCTTAACCCCCTTATAGTACTAATAGAGATATATAAAAACTCTACCTATAGCACCTTATAATTATTCTTATATATATTTATAAGTTATTAAGTAGAAGGCTATACTTTTTTAAGCCTACCTATTTTACTATACTTAGATAACCTATGCCTACTAATTTCTAATAGACTATCTATATAACTAATCTAGCTAAGGGTAAGCCTCTTAAAAGTATGCCTATATCTTTATCTTTAACTATTTATACTAGAGCTTTAGCAGAGAAATAGATAGATATATAGCCTTGCTAAACTAGAGCCTTTATCTATACCTTTACCTATTACTAATAATTTATAGCTAGCTAAGTAAGAGATTCTAGGTATTATCTTATACCTTATATAGTTTAAGCACCTACTATATAGCCTCTATAAGAGTATTATTCTATATAAAATGCTCTATTATTATCTCTACTATTATTATAATATCTACTATGCGTTTTATAAGGCTATTATCTCTAAGTATAAGAATATATCTATATTCTAGACTAATACTAATATTATGCCTCTCTTAGCTAGAATACCTCTATTAGACTGCCTACTACTACTAGAGCTAGGATATTTCTACCTATACTATAATTATATAACTATTAATTAGAACTTACTTCTATACTACTTTTAAAAGATATAATATAATAGAGGATATAGAATCTATAATAATCTTTTATACTTCCTTTAGAGGTAGGTGTCTATTTAAAAGAATATAGAGAGAGTATAGCATATAGATACTACTATACCTATTATATAATATAAGATAGATATTATACTTAGTTATAACTAGTCTCTTATTAATAATTCTACTACTATTACTCTCCTATAAATAGAGGCTAAGAAAGAAGCTAGGCTCCTATAAGAGAAGTAAGAGTCTATAGCTCTAAGTAATAAACTTAAGTATAATAAGAGAACTAACTAGCTATATAGCTATAGCTAGCTATGCTAGTTTACCTATAAACTACTCTATCTAATTATTATAACTATAAGGTTACTAGCCTCTACTAGTAAAGGGGTTTATCTTAGTATCTAAAACTATATAGAATAGATCTACTATATATCTACTAAAATAAGACTTTAAAAGCTACTAGGAGTAGTTACTCTTATAATAGATTAATATAAGAAGATACTTTAATAGATACTATAGATAATATACTACTAGCTATAGAGCTAGGGTTTATATTTCTATATATATCCCTCTAAACTACTATAGTAGTAGGCTATATAAACTAGGTACTAATTCTACTTTAACTATTTTTTATATTATATATTTTAGGCCTAGTAAGTCTATAAGGCCCTTAATTAGAGCCTAGGTAAAGTATATAGTTTTAGGCTATTAGATATATAGGTATAAATAATAGAGTATATCTAGGCTAACCTTACTATTAAAGATCTTAATAGTATAATACTATCTTCTTTATCTTATATAATAGAGACTATATTCTAACTTCTTATAATATTTTAGATAGATTTATTAACTAATAGTCTATTAGAGGGTAAAGCTATTATCTACTTCTCTAGAGTGCTAGGCATCT